TAAGACGAGACTAGGACAAAGTAACTTTACAAGTGGCTTAGGATAAGATTAAAGGACGGTGAGTCATAACTAAGGTACAATGACTCATAACTATGGTACAAAGGTCCATTATTATGGTATAGTGACTCATCACTTAAGGTACAGTGACTAAGCACTATGACTCATACTAAAATACAAAAATTATTATGACTTGACTAAGACATAAAGTTGATGAAGACTTGACATAAGGTTGTCTTGATGTGAAGGCATCATTTTCAACTTCTGTGGAGTCTTCTGGAGAAAACTGAAATTAGCACGCGTAATTATACAATATTTGGACTGGAGAGGGAATCTTCTATCTTGTAGTACCATCATTTGAGAGAACGTTGAGTGTGTTTTGGAGAGAGGTTGAGGTGTGAATTGTCTGCGCCTGGTGTGAAATCATAGCCGAGGTTTTCTAACCATTGATCTGGATCAAAATCATCAAGTGGGTCTTAAGAATCTTGTTGCCATTCCATTTGTGGGATAACTTCAGGAGGTTTCCAATAAGGATTCCATTCTATTGGGCCTGCATGGTCAAGTTCAAATCTGGTAGTTTTAGAACGAGGTTCTGTCCAAGTACCATCAAGGCGAGTTTCATAAATTTTTTTATCAATGTTGAGCTGGTAAGTGTACTCTGAAGGATAGTTTCCCCATAGAACTTCATCTTGGATCTCTGGCCAATTTTGCTTTGGAAACTTGTGATTCATTTCACAAATTTGTCTCTAGAATTCAGTGTATTCAATTGGGTGATCAAACTGAGAATCAAACAGCGAATATCCTTGAGAGCTGTAAATTACTGCATAGGGGAAATACTGAGGGTTTTTTGTCAAACTGCTGCAAGATCTGTGAAAGATTAAAACAATATGAGGATCAGGAAGAACTTTTGTATATCTCTCATAGGTTTCAATCCATTGAATCCAAATGGGAATGGGTCTGAACCAGGTGAAGAAAAACTTGAGATGTTGTTGACTGGGGTCCAACTGGTGTTTGGTAGGGTTGATAGTTGACTGGTGAAAAAGGTGAAGAAGGGTTTTGAGTTTTGGAAGTGGGAATTCTATACCAATATAGTAAAGGTGACAAAGGTACCATATAAAACAAATTGTTTCTTTTGGGAAACAAAAAGGTTCAGGGAATTTAAAGGGATGGATAAAGGGATAATCAGGGTGTATACCAAGAGATTGAAAAGAGGTGTCTCCAAACTTTCTGAGTGTTTTGGACTGATATTTGAGCAAGAGGTGTGAGGCTTTTTGGTCAAGGGTTTGAGTGGCAAGAAGTCTGGGTAATTCTGGAGGAAGATTTTCTACTGGAAGGTTAAGGAATTCATCAGGTAGATCAAATTCATCATCAAGGTGAGGTTTCTGAGAAGAGGAGAAAATAGGGTTGTTTGAGGAAGAGGCTTGTGAAGAAGGAGGTGTTGGGTTCATCATAGAAATGACTGGAATAACCTGGAAAGTGTTTGAAGGAGGTTTTGAAGGAGGTCTTGTGAGCATGTCTGGGATGAGGTTGTCTTTTCCTTTTATATGCCTGGTGGTGAAGAAGTACTGTGAGAACCATTGTGATAGCCTGAGTAACTGTGCATTTGATATTTTCTTCTTTTTGAAATTGAGCATCTGATCAAAGGTTGACATATCTAATTCCACGAGAAAGTGAAATCCAATGAGGTGAAATTCAAACCTCGATTTGCCTTCTTTAAAACTCTGGCAACATCTCTCTGACTTGCTGTTCTTCGCATGTCTTGGACTTACACCAGTAGAATTATAAGGCTAATAAATTATAGATCAATTTCAGGATTAAAAGATAAAGTTCTGACACGTATCTAGAGGTTGGAAATTTTAATTGAACTTAAAGGAAAGTAAAAATGTTTGAGATTCTTTTCTCTAAAGTATAAAACATCCCTCATGTATTTACTATTTGCAATCATATGATATAAGCCCCTAGCAAGCCTTCATAAATATTCAATGTACAACTAAGAAACACTCTGCATGTCTCCTATCAGAAACAATGCTCGTTCAACCAAATAAACCAAAAACTTTAGCAAATTTCCCAAGGAATCAAACCCATTCTTTCTTTTCTTCAATTCAATTTCTGCCAATTTTGCAACTGGGTTTTTCTTGTTTGATTGGAAAAATAAAAAAGATCCAGCAATCGAACGGTCTCGGTTCCTTGCTTTTTCATGATCGTGGTGACATGGATATGCAAAACGAAAGTGTTTCTTTTGGAAAATAAAGGTTACACCACCAGGAAACAAAGACATGCTTAGGACAGAACCGTTTCAAACGGTCCTCAGATTGCTAGATATCTTCAACAGTTTCGAATTCAAATCCATATTACACCCTTTACAGGTGAACTTATTGGAAAAGAATGTTAAAGAAAGAACGTTGCTTTATCATTAACCGTTGGCTTTATATTTTCAAAATTCAGTTTGTTTCACCTATACGATATAAATATGACTTTAAATATGAACCTTATAGCATGTTTTCAATGAATTACATTTAGAATCTGATAGCAACAACAACTTGTGACAGTGAGTAAAAGCTTTTGCTTTTTTTTTTTGTTTCCGCAAGAGAGATGGCCATTCTTTTTTCTTCTGTCCAATGTAAACGTTTCAGTTTAACCCAATTTTTCTTGAAGTCCCATCAGTTCAGTTTGTTTTGATTATGATTCAGAAGTCCCCAAATCTTGAGCCCCACTAACCAAATTTCATGATTATTTGCAGAATTGAGATTAGCAATAAGGCAGAAATGGACAAATTTTCGAACTCGGATGAAAACTATGATCTGGGTTATCAACCTTCTCCTTCTTCTATTGATCAAAATGATCAGTCAACTACAGGAACTCCAGGGAACTCAACGCTTAGTGGTGATTCTTTCGTTTATTGCCTGACCTACTCTGAGACCTCTGCATTTTCAGACCCTGTTGATGATCACAGCTGTTGTAATGAAGCTTCACCTTCTCACTGGTCAGCCACAAGATCCAGGGCTCAAAATCAAGCTGTTCTTACCAGGCTTGGAACAAAGCAGCGTAAAAGTAATGCGGAGGAAAAGCTTGATGATCTGGAATCATTGGATTTGGGTAAAATATTTGGCAGAGATGTGTCTTTCATGCTAAACTTTGTTGTTTTTTCATGCTAATTGGTGTAAAATTATGTTGACAGAACTCGAAATGATGAAGGAAAGATTTGCAAAACTTTTACTGGGAGAAGACATGTCAGGAAGTGGGAAAGGGGTCTGCACTGCGGTTACAATCTCAAATGCCATAACCAATCTCTATGGTACATAATATTTCAAACAAAGACATGACTTTGTTTTAGTTGTCTTTCAATTCTATGAATTGCTTACTTCTGTTAATGTATGCAGCAACTGTATTTGGACAAAATTTGAGGTTGGAACCTTTGAATCCGGAAAAGATGGAACTCTGGAAAAGAGAAATGGACTGTCTTTTATCTGTTTGTGATTACATTGTGGAATTCACTCCCACCAAGTCACAGAATTTGCGTAATGGAACAGTTGTTGAGGTAAGATTTGAGAATCCATACCTAAGTTTTCTCTTAATGGGTGTTTGCCATTTTGCCTGCTTTAACATTATGCTTTTTGAATTTTTAGATAATGGAAAGCGGACCTAGATCAGATATATATATCAATCTTCCTGCACTGAGAAAGTTGGATGCAATGCTCATTGTAAGACAAAGCTCTATTTGAGAAAAATCACAATCTTTTCTAGTTGAAAAAGCTCATCTCATATCATAGCTCAAACCCTTCGACAGGAAATACTGGATAGCTTCCAGGACAGAGAATTCTGGTATGAAAAGCAAGGGAGTATGTCCTCAAATTCAACTCGTACAGGCTCATTTCGAAGGGTTGTTCAGAGAAATGATGAAAAATGGTGGGTGCCAGTGCCATGCGTTCCTCCAAGTGGTCTCTCTGAGAAAGCAAGGAAGCACTTGCGACACAAACGCGACTGTGCTAATCAAATTCACAAGGCAGCAATGGCTATCAACAGTAGTTTTCTTGCTGAGATGGAAATTCCAGGCTCGTACATGGCATCTCTTCCTAAGGTTAGTCCTTCTGGCGATGAAATTGCTTCACAGATTTTCTGTTCATGTGATTTAGAGCGGAACCTCCTCTTATCTACAGAGCGGAAGAGCCAGTATTGGAGACGCAATTTACCGCTTCATGTATAAGACAGAAAAATTCTCCCCAGACCATCTGCTTGATTGTCTCAATATAGCATCCGAACATGAAGCACTTGAGCTTGTAGACCGTGTTGAAGCTGCAATGTATACATGGAGACGTAAAGCATGCATGAGTCATTCAAAATCATCATGGGGAATGGTAAAAGACCTAATGTCTGATGTTGATCGAAGTGACAAAAATCATATATTGGCTGAAAGAGCAGAAAGCTTGTTATTTGCCTTGAAGCAGAGGTATCCTGAACTTGCACAGACGTCCTTGGACACATGCAAGATTCAATACAATCGAGTATGTGAAAAGTTGTCTGTGCATATTGTATTTAGCAGAATTGAAATTCCATGGTAGGACCATTTGACACAAATGGCACCTTGTCTAAAATGCATTCTTCCCATAAGATCCAAGTTTTTGACCCCTATAAATCAGCTCTATAAGAAGAACTTAATGGAAATTCTGTCTTGCAGGATGTGGGGCAAGCAATCCTGGAGAGCTACTCAAGGGTGTTAGAAGGTCTAGCTTTCAACATTGTTGCCTGGATTGAAGATGTCCTTTTTGTAGACAGAACAATAAGAAACCAAGAGTAAAAGTCTATTGCAATCAGAAAAAATTTCAAAGAGGGCAAACTCAACCCCAAAGTCAATCTGTTGTCATCATCCGTTCGACAATTTCTGCTGAATCCATTTTGCAAGAAGCCAAGAACATAATCTGGTTGATAAAGAAAACCTAGCAATTTTTCTTTATAATTTCATGCTGTTACATGGGAACCAATTTGTACATTAGCATCGTTTTAAACAAGTCATGCCCTTCTAACACCTCAAGGTTTTTAGCACCCTTACTTTTTATTGGGTTTCTGTTCGTGATTAAATCTCCGTACAATAATAGTCGTTATTCCTCATAAATGAAAACAAAAAAATAATACTAATAATAAGAAAAAAGAAAAAGAAAGTCCTCCTCCATTGCACTTGAAGATACAGATTCCCAAATTGCTTCAACTGCAATTTTGACAACCTTGAAACAATATAATAAAAGTTTTCCTAATTTTGCACTCCAACAAGGCAATAAACCATCACTATGATCACCGGTGAAAAGAAGGGAATATACCCACTAATCAATTCAAACATCAGTCAACGAACCACTCCGTAGTTTTAAAGGCGTCAAGGGTTTTCTTGGAGGGGAAGAAGAAGGAGATGAGGATGATGAAGATGATCTGAAAGCTTCAACCTTATCCTTGCATTTGGTGTCGTCTCCTTTGTTTTCTTCCAAACACTTCTCCAACTTTCTTTGAGGGGAGGAAGAAAGAGATGAGGATGATGAAGTTGATCTGAAAGCTTCAACCTTATCCTTGCATTTGATGTTGTCTCCTTTGTTTTCTTCCAAACACTTCTCCAACCAATCAGCTTTGCCTTGGGACAAAGTCTTCTTCTCAGTCACATCAACACCACCACCAGCAGCGCCATCAACCCCCTTCGCTTGATCCATTTTGTCGATAGTTCCAGCAAGTCAACTAAAACCACGACTTGGAAGCCTGTATTAATAAATATATATTTATATTAAACAAGAAATAAAAATATAAAACTACATTTGATTTCCAGGGAAAGTAGAACAAGTATAAACAAATAGGGTAGAGAAAAAATGCCCAGTAGAATTCTGGGTTTTTATTGTTTCGATAGTTTCGGCTTTGAAAAGATTATAGAAGAAAACATGTCAAGAAAAACAAAAGTAAAGAAGTATAGAACAAGAATTAAAAATTAAGTAACAGCAATAATTATAAAGTATAGAACAAGAATTCAAGATTAACTGATGTTCCTAGCTACCATAGTATAGAAGAAGAATCAAAGATTAACAGATGTTCCTAGCTACTGTCTTCCCCTTAAACCCAAAAGAACATCAAGATAAGAAAAGAAGTGGAAAATTTTAAGTTAATGATGAACTTACTCAAAGAAAACTTGAGGCTGAAGTAATGGGAGTCGTAGCGGATGGAGAAAACTTTTTTAAAAGAAAGACGAGCGAGGCATAATACAAGTCAGTTATCAGTCAATGGGTTTTTCTTCAAATAGTCAGTATATTTTATTTTTGGGCCGTCCATTTCTAAATTTATGCAGAAATGGATTGCTAGGGAAGCAAGAGATGATGGTACTTAGATTCCATCCGTTGGGCTTTGCCGTAAATGCCGCAATAGGCCACAGGCAGGGAATCGGGGGGGTCCAAGTTGACCTGTTCCAAATAGCTTAATGGCTGCAGTGAAGCTTTAGATTAATAATAATAATGTCATGATCAAATTACCATCTTTATGCTATGCCATATGATTATAACAATAATGCTTCTGTATGGTCTCAATCTAAAAGCTTACGCTATTATCTTTTTAAAAAAGAATAGATTTATTCGCACCCACACCCTTTCAGGCAAGACTGTTATAATAAAAAAGGAAAGAAAAAACCTGACGACAATCTATGAATCACACCATCTAAATGCTCAAGATATTAGGCGAATCACACCATCTAAATGCTCAAAAGTAAATTTTAAACTGCTTTATTATTCTTAAAAAAGCAGAAGAGGGGAACTTTTCGTGAAATCTTCCTCGCACAGGAAGCCTATATAGCATAACTAGAAGGACTTACCCATTAGAAGATCATCTCTCAACTCTTCAAACACCATAGAATAGAATACATAAACTTATGGTACATATCTCTCACATCTGTGAAAATGAAGGAACATGCTATTGTATACATATCACAAATTCTAGATAGGATCCAGTGACCAACGATCCATTGGTTCTAGCTGATATCTATCCAACAATGACGCCATCTTGACATCAGAGATGCCTGGAAAAATCAATTTCAGTATGCAGAAAGCTGATGTTTTAAGATTAAAGATCCATAATAACTCCATGCCAGTCCCCCTCATTTGTAAGCATGAATTAATATATGCATGACTGCAACATAAACATTTAATGTATTTCTATACATGGGATGCAGGTGTCCATGTGTCTTTCAGTGTTTTGAAAGAGAAAAGAAATGGGGACAAAAGATTGATTAGCAATGGAACAGCTACATATCATTCTTGATATACTTGATCAATTGGTAAAACTGAAACAATTATCTCTATATATACAACAAAGCCTCTGAACCGCACCTGAGAGTCTACGGCCCAGATGGTGGCGGGCATAAAACCACAGTACTTGTACAGGGTCTGCATGCTGAACAGATGGCATACATGAACACATCTTGACATTCTTCTACAAGGACTCCAGCATGCCCATCCCACCTTCCCAACTCCCCCCCCCCCCCCAACTGTGAAAAAAATCCCCTCCCAACAGTTCCCCCTCTACTATTAAACATGGGACCAGCTGCACAGACAAGAGATGTGACCTTGATGCCAGCATTAAATTACCTGTTGTGGGCGGGTTTGCTAACCTTCGACCAATTCAAAAATGTGAGTCAAGCCTAAAATCAGCTGTCATCATCCACAGCACCAATATATGTCAAGTCCGTCCGTCTCACTCTTACAGTCCCCTTAAGCCAACTTGAGGCTCGAAGATTAGAATGGTCACTGCCGCCAATGACAGTGATGCTACTTGAAGATGGACCTGATCCTGCTCCATCTTCCAAAAGTGTCCATGGGTCAATTTCCATATCATATTCCTGTTGTGACGGCATTGGCTTGGATTTTCCCGGTATACTATTTGCAGGTCGTGCCAATGCAGCCAGTCTCTGAGATGCATTCAAAGCTCCAGTGTAAGATCCAGACACGTAGAAGCTGGATTGAAGCAAACTAAGAGTGGCAATTGGGACAGAAGGTGGGTGGGAGGAGATCAAATTGCGAAAAGAAGGAAATAATATTGGCATTGCAGATTGGATACGCCATCTAATCATCTCAGGCAATTGCATAGAGTCTAACTCATTCTGCATCCACAGAAAAACAGTAATTGAGGCGTGTAAAGAATCATCTGTCATTTTATTCCAATGCTAACTTCATTTTACATAATAATTTTACAAATGCAGCAAGTATTCATTGACACTTCATGTTCATGAGAAGTTTCATTTCATAAGAGCAATTAAAATTAATTAATGTTCTACATTGACAGGAAGGACATCTCAAAGAGCTCTAACTTGTGGAAAAGTGAATATTCTCTTTCACTTGCACTGAAAGTATTGGAAGGTCACACTATTTGTCACAATAAAATCATAAACAATAACTAAAAATACCCACTTTTGGGAGGGAAGACCAACTGCAAAGTCCACAAACCAAAAAAGAAGACATTCAGTCAAATTAAAAGTGCCAATGATAATGTATTTCTTTAGCATGCAGCATGCATGCTTTATTTACATTTCTCATTACTAATTGCATTACAGGTGCAGCAGCAAACACCAGATGACCTCATTTCCACACATTAATACGTTAATTTTCTTTACCTTAGAACTCTTTACAAATTTCCCCCACCCCCACCAAAAAACCTTCAACTGCTACAAGACCATCAACGCATAGCATGCATACTCAGTCATGATTGCAATCCTAAATATGCAGAACATGAATGGGCTCCAAAGCCAACACAGACTGGTAAAATTACAACACTTTGCGTTCAAGTAAATTAGGATTATTCGAAGCACTTATTTCTAATAAATTAGGTTTATTTACCAAAACAAACAGCAATAAATATAACCAGTGCAATAATGAAGATTAAAAACCTGCAAACTCTCCACTGTGTCACGGTCAAATCCAGAAAAATCCTTGGTAGTCTTTGACTTTAGCCAACTTGGCTTGTAACTGCTTAACAACCCATGTAGAACGAACAATAAATGATCAAAAAGACTATCTCCCGAAATATCTGAAGATGCAATAGGTGACACCAGCTCCTCGTCCCTCTTCAACTGCACAAAATTAAAAGATAGGTCCACATCCTCATGCACAACCCTACTTCCAAGTAATCGAAGAATTACAGATGCAAGCATGTGCCTCATGTTTCGTGCTGATGGTTCCCTGAATAATCCAACAAATGAACCTTAGTAAACTAGTTCATCAAATACTATAAATAAGATAATTGAGATTTCATGACATTATTGCATCAAGACTACCCAATAACAAGAACATTAATTAGGAAGAAACAACTAAAAAAACATGGGCTTCCACTTTTCAGTGGAAGACCAAAAGTCAATGAATTCTCAAAAAATAGCATAAACAATGCACAAAATATAAAAAATAATTTATGCTTCGTGCACTCCTATAGAGAAAAATGTAATCCTCAAATTCTATTTTCAGCAACAGGGGAAAGAAATTAAATTAAAAAAAAAAAAAAGATAGATTTCCTCACACTAAGATAATGGAAAAAGATGTTCAAATCAGATATAAAACAAATCGAAGCAATGGAGTTTTCAATTCAAGAATTTTATTTGCACAGTTCTATAAAAATAACATAGAAAGAATTAGAGCTAATATCTCAGAACACTTTAAACAGAATAAGCGAAACTTGAAAGGCTTGAGCTGAGATTGAGATAAAATTAACACAAAATACCATGATAATTTCATTAAAAAAAAAAGCAAAAAAAAAAGGTAATAACTAGCATATTCATTTCCAGCAGAATGATTCACATACTAATAGATAGCGACACAAGAAATTAAACAATAAACCACCACCCCCCCCCCCCAAAAAAAAAAAAATACTATGACAAGAATTCATGGTAACAAGAAAATCTAGTTAGCATATTGTGCAACCCAAAAAAATAGTCACAGGCAGCAGTAAGCCAGTAAGCATAGAAACTGATCATACTTATATTAAATTGAAATAAATTGAAATCAGGGAGAAAGATAAAGCATATATTTACCCATCTGCACAAATGGTTGGCAGCAATCTCACAATAAACTGCAACCTCAATGACATAGAAGCTCGCAAAGCTGCAGGGGAAGGAGGCGCAGACTCCGCAGGAGCTGTCGTTTGTCTAGCCAATCCATGACTACCAACTCTTATACCTTTGCGATTGTTACCTTTATTAGTAGAACCTTCAATTCCAGAAGAAGCTGCTCCAGTCTGCTTGCTTGTTCCACGAGTAACTGAGTTTATTTGTTGCTCAATAGTGTTAAACTGCTTTATCAAATCACTTGCAAAGGTATTGCGTGAGTCAGAAGAACTTTGGTCTATGCAAGGAAGAATCAATTCAATGAAAGCCTTCTCGGTTACGTGCTGCTGGCTGATATTGGAACCTTCAACATCAACTTGAGTGGAATCTTTCACATACCTTTTTGACTCCATGCCATCCTCAATGACTTCACCTTCCTCAAGAGAGGTGACTTCATACTTCTTCTCTCCCCTGTTTGTCACAGGAGAAACACCCGAACAAGACCATCCCCAAGGCTTCCAAAACTGGGTCTTTGTAGAAAGGCTCTTATTTTCTGCGATAATAATGAGCCGTTGCCTAAGAGTTTTCCGTCCCAAAAGAACATCCGGACCCCCTAGAAACCATTTAGCCTGCATCAACATTGAATCCTCTAATGACCTTCCAAAAAGATGAACCACCTCTGAGAAAAGGGGAGCAGCATCAGGTCTCACCAACAATCTGGTGAGGATGATATAAGTGAAAACTTTCTCATTTTCTGAAGGAGAAGCTCTTTCAGAACTGGGTGAGGAAGAGCGAATAGCATCTACCAAGGACATGTCATGGTTCTCCATCTTATCAATGAGTGCTTGTTCATTTAAAAGAAGCCTTAACTCAACCCACTGCCAATGAAATTTAGCTGGTTGCAGAGCATCCAATGCACGAACAAGCTTATCAAAAAGCTTTGACTCATTCTCTGCACGCAGAGCTTTAGACTCACTATGTCCAGAAACTCGATTCCCATCATCCTGTATAAAAGCAGAATAAGGCATCTTACAATCAATTATAGCATTTAGAAAGAGCCTTCCACGAAGAGGGACAAAGGCCATGGATTTCAAGTGCACATCCAAACAGTTCACCTCTAGCAAGGCTGCAAACTCAGCATCAGTGGTATCCGCAGCTACAATATCATAAAAACCACGACTATCCCTCATACAAACATCTCGAAAAGGTATATGTTTTATGGCATCACGAATAGCCATTGTTAAAGACTGAAACAATTGAAAGATATCTTCACGACTTGCAATGTTACCATTCAAAATGAATGGCTTCCATATAACAAAGGCAAATATTGCATAAGCTGGTGGCAAGACCAAATTAATTGGGAGCAATCTCTGCATCCTTGAAAGAGCTACAACAGATTGTTCACCTAGGAGTTCCAAAACTAGTCCATCACAAACTGTTCTGCAGTTCACAACTAACAGCCGAAACCAGTGCACATAAATTTCAACCGAGTTGTCCACCTTAAAAGCCCCAACAGATCGGGCATTACCATTAGAACTGGTTTTCATGCTCCTTACAAACTGAACAACATCCAAACCTTCCTGTAATCTCAAGACTGTTACCATCCTCTCCAAGCTAATAACCCCATGAATAATAGCCCTGATGACAAGAGCAGAAATAGCCGCTGCCATTTTGGTTGTTCTCCCAAGAGTCGCTTTGGCAGAACTGTTCAAATTGTCACCAGATATGTTCGCATTAGACTCAGGAGCATCAGGAGGCAACTGAAACTGACCTCGAGAGGACTTTACAGGAGCAAAAGCTACTGCTAAAGCAGAAGAAGCCTCTGTTGCAAGAGCTATCTCAAATGCTCGTCTTTGGCGCTCTCCAAGAGCTTCCTTTAGCAGGCATAGACAAATTAAATGAATGCGTAATATGCGCTTAGCAAAATTCAAGGAATTCATAGGTGGCTGATAACATGAATAATTGCTGCCACCAGTAAAATCAAGTATCTTTGCAAGGGTTGGTCCAACACTGCTAACAATGGCAGAAACAGCAGAAGACACCAAACCTGGGTCCCCTTCTTGAGCAGCACCACCAGTTTGCCTAATAAAGTCCATTAGTCCCATTATGATTTGTTGAGCTACTTGATAACCATCATCCCCTTTTTCAATGGCAGGACTTTTTGGTGCATTGGCTGCAAAAAGTTTTCTCTCTTTACCTAAGATATAGTGCAAGGCATCATCAACATGATGCTGAACCATATCTCTCATGTTTAAACCCACCCTAGATAACCGTCCACCAGTTATCTTTTGACGGTAATAATCATCAGGGTCTTCAATCCCTGCTGGAACTCCAAGTGAAAACCCAAACTCTTCCTCGACTGTTCCTCCAGATTCAAGTTCAGACAAAAGTCTCTTATCACAAATCCCCTTGAAATTCTTCTCCCAGTCAATTACACTGGCAATATTGCCATACCTCTTCAACAAATACCGAGCAAAAACAAGGGTTCCTGAGCCAGTAATTCTTCCATTAGTGGCCATAACTGCCACAGCACGATGCATTGTAGCCGACAAGGCTTCAGGCACAAGATCTGCAGCAATAAGTATGTTCTCATACCTGAACAAAATTCATCATTAAGCATGTAAGACATACATATGCAGGTTTAGCCAAAACATGGTGAACAACAAAAGGTTTTGCCGTGACAAATCTAGTGGCTTAATAATCAATCCTGAGCAATAACAATAACTTTCAGGGGAAAAAAAATTAAAGTCCTCCCAATCTCCAGAACCGTTTCCTAGATGTTACTCAAGTCCAACCAAACACCAAGAAGAAAATATGTTATTGAAATGCTTTCATGCAGTCAATAATACAGATACACGAACATCCAGAACAGTTTTGCTTTAGCCAGAAATTGGAGGAGAAAAGCGAGGAAAAAGAAGCTACAATTATTGCTAAAGTAAGATCAACACGCAGCAACTGCATTAAACCATACTGCAATGCAACGGTCACTAACAAAGAACCAACCTAGAGAACTAATTGATGCCAGAAATGATTCGCAAGAACAATTTAATTAGAAGAAAAAGTGGCAGAAAAATGATATTTCACCTTCTGAGAGATGATAAAAGATATGCCTCCCCCACTTCACACGCATAATTTTCCACATTCCTGGGCACCATTAGAACGTTTCTCCCACTATGAATGGTAGGAGAGGGATTACTAACCACTTTTGGCAACAACCATATGAGAAATTTGACAGCTGAAGCTGAATCACAAGAAACATCCATTAGATACAGTATAGTTGATAGCTCATCCTCACCAAGCTTCCACCTTGACGGACTCTTCTCATCAGATGCAACAAATGGCCTGCCATTCTGGCCAACCTTCGCCACAGATTTTTCTGACTCTTCAACAAGCTGCCTAACTGCAGATATCAACCAAACTGCAACAATCCTCTTCTCCACAAAGCGAAGCTGCTTTAAGCCCTTTCCAATTGAAACAATATCTCCAAAATGGGTTGTTCCAATCCCATCCACTGATTTTAGAGTTTCCACCTCAGTTCTATGATGCAGGCAGCTTATCTTGTTATCACATACGTGACTTGTAGATGCTCCCAGGCTACCCTCAATTCTAGCAGATGCTAATTGAGCAAGACTCTGAGTTTTACGCACGGTCTTTTGCCTACCACGAGAAACTTGCTTCGTTGATTTAAGAGGAGGATCAACTTTGAAAGACTCTAAGTTTTTCAGCCCCTTCCTCACCCACCAAGTATCTTCATCATCTGATGGAATTGGTGAAGGTACTTGAAGAAATGAACTCTTATCCTCACTTAATTTCTGTCTTTTTACCCTTTTACAATCTTCACACCCAGGAGTACCTTCAAACAAATCCATCTTGTTGCATGTTGACCCAACAGGCCTTTTGACACTCCCTTGAGACTCATCCACTCCACTATCTGCAGATGTAGAAGATGAGCTAGGGAATTGCAACAACACTGAAATGGAAGCCTTCAGTTCCTCAAGGTACACATCTCTCCTGAAAGCCTTTGAAAACTGAACACTTTTCCATTGATCACCTGAAACTTGGGAAGCACCATCCCTATGATACTTTTGCTTCTTAGCTGATACATGAGAATTGTTTGCATTATTATATTGATCAAAAAGAAGCTCATGAAGGACAAGACGACGTTCTTTTGAGTAAACATTTACAGCCTCAAGCAGTTCTACACCCTCAGCAATTCTTGCTTCTTCTAAAGCATCACAGATAAACTGCTTTGGGAGCTGCTTCAAGATTTGATGGTGTCTCTTCCTTCTTTCCAGGTCATCCATAGGTCCATTAGCATCAATAATTCCACTAATTATCAGCTGCCTCACATATGCCTGAGGATAAAAGATTCCACAACGTACGAGTTCTAATACAAAAAGCTGAAGACGCTTGCCACCTCCTTTATGCCCTTCATGCTGATCAATCCAGCACACAATAATATCATGCAGAGGTCCTGGGCTGTCAAATATATCTGAAATATTATTACTTCTTCCATCCACACCTTTTCCATTGCTTTTAGCTTCATATATATCTCCCAACAAATTCCTTCTGGAATGGTTATTCTGCTGACTGGTATTCTTTGCAGTACAGTTAACTCCAGAAGCCCTTCCATTCTTGTGTCGTGGATGCTGCAACTCTTTCATCTTCAGCTTTAAAAGCTGAATTGCAAGATATATTTGAGAAAAATCTTTCCTTCCAGTGAATTTCAAGTCACGGGGTGGAGCAGTCCGGAAATCCCTGAAGTCACAAGTTGCCCACTCACAAAGGAAAAAAACTGAGCAAATCAATGACAAATTCACAGTTCTAAGCCATTTCAGTGATGATCTTAAGCATGGATTCACTTCTGCAACCCAACCTTCGCCAACTGCTCCATCAAAAAGATCACCAAAGATATGTTTATAAGCCTCTATTAGATCTCCCTGCAAAAGAGCTTTATCTAGGGTCTGCACAGCTTTTGCCACACTTTGGCTAGGATATCCAGTACTTGAACCTTTAGCAAGATTATCAGCACGTTTCTGGATGGTGGAAACAACATGATCAAATGACAAGGATTGGTAGTGAGAATCAAATCCTTTACATCTGAGAACATAAGCATCCACTGAATTATTTTTTATTTTCCCTGCATCATCCGATGACTTTGATAAAAAACCACCATCATTCAATGTATGTGAGACTACACAAGTTGGTAAAGGAAAGCAATCTAAAGCAACAAATGTATCTGGCACAGCCTGTATCAAATAGCGAAGCATCTCAATCAGAGCAGATATTGTGTAAGCTCTCCGGGAATTATCAACCAGATCAGATCCACCTGGAGAAGGCTCGCAGATGAAGCGAATAGCCACACCCACAAGATTGCGTACATATGTCTGACATAGGGTGATGGTTTCCAAAACTCCATAAATGATAGGCAATAGCAACTGCAGAATCTCAAGCAATCCCTTTTCCTGAAAGAGAACAAATACAATGATTAAAAACTATAAGAATGTTCATAAGCTCATAATTACTCCCTAACTAAACATGTCTCTCAGAAAGGTGGAAAAGGTATTTGCAATGAGGGTAGAATGCACCAAATTCAATACCTGCAGTTGATTCAGAACCCAATCAATGATAAGAGAAGGCAGAACCAGTCCTTCTGCATGATGCCACTGCAAGAGCCGCACCACATACCACCACTTAAAGTGAAGGGATGGCTCCTCACCATCAAGGATTGCTGATGTGGAATCACTCCTATGCTGCAAAGACCCAGTATAAAGCATTTGTGGCAATCTATCTTTACCATGTTGAGTGGAATGAGAATTATTTCTTGAAAAAAATTCATTCAAAAGGTACTGCAAGTAATCAATAACATCTTTTGTCCAGAGTTCTGTACGAGATAATTGAGTTTTGTCAGGTGCTCCAGAAGATATTGCAGAACCAGGGCGAACCTGCAAAAGATAACCATAATGCAACCATCCAATATTATGAATAGCCTAGGACAACTGCGAAGAGCATGAACAGATGGTTATAATAATTAAGGCAATTGTACCTGATTAAGATAAGTTACTTTGATAAACCAAGTTGCTCTCAGCAATGGAACATTATTCCTGATAAGAACTTCTATTACAGTTTTCTTCCTATAATCTTGAGGAACTTGATCAGCCAAAGAACGCAATTGCTTGTGTTGCTGTGATAAGCCCTGAGAAAAATAAGAACATAACAATTCATTAAGACAATGCATAAAGTTTTTTTTACTTTCACTGGTTGTACGTAATGAACATAACAATTCATTAAGTACAACCAGTCATGAACTTAGGGGAGTATGAACATACCTCAATCCATTTCTTTCTGAAATCTTCATTGCATGGCCTTTGTTCAGGGAAAACCCCTGGTTTACTTAACAGTTGACCAGTAAGAGGGACACCATAAACCTGACCAGCCTGACAAAAACAAAATACAGCCTCAAATTCTGTACCAAGATCCAGAACTTTAAGAAGGATTACAGAAACTTGAAACAACTAAAGAAGAAGATAAGTTAATAAATATGGAAGGAAAGAATGCATCACCTTCCGCTTTTGAGCACGAGAATCATTGATCGCCCTTAGACACTTTCTAATTGCCTAAAAGGAAGAGAAAAGAATTACTCATTAAAAAGTTAAAAACCAACAGTCATATTTCACAAAAATTAGATTAAATATGCATAAAACAGTCTAATTGACAACCATTGCATTCCAAATAAAGTGGCTTACATCTCTGCATTTCAGAACAACTGGCTTTGTAAAAGCCTGAACCTGAGTCAATGAAATCTCTTTGGAATCCTGAACAGATGGCAGGACCATGTTAGACAAAAAAAATATGATGGTAATAAAAGAAGCTAATGGAAAGACAGTTAATTCTCCAGAATTATCTTCAAAAATTCCAGATTTAAATTTCCTATGACTTTAAAATATTGATAAGTTACTATCTCAGCGAAAAAAAAAATCAACTCAAAGCAGTACTCACACAAATACTATCAAATTTCAATCTAAAATAGGCAAAGAAAGCACAACAAGGTAAGGTTTGACAGAGACTGCCACAACAAAACGAGAATCTCATGCTTGGAGCATATGCAAATACTAGTTCCCAAAATATAAGAAAATGTTAACATGTTTGAAAAATAGCCTCAATCTAATAACTGTATTGCAGAATAGAGAATATAAGCATCTCAAACTTCAATTATCCGCAACAAACCAAAAAAAATGATCCAATCTTTTAATTTTCATGCAAACCCATTTAAAATCATTTACTTCGCTCAAAAACACTAAAGTACGGTTAACTCAGCATTAAGTTCAAGTAAGAAATGATGTAATTGCAACTCATATAGATTGGTAAAGCAACCATAGTTACCAAACACTTGCATGCAGCACAACATCCACATAAGGATGTTACAGCAAAACAAAAAAAAAAAAAAAAAAACTAACTAATGAACCTTAATCAATCATAAGACAATACCTCCAGTCCATCAATAGTCTCCTTATATCCCTGCTGCACATTTTCTCTAGTGAGAGTCTCTTCGGGACAATTTTGGGACTGAGGATGAAAATCAGGGGGCCCAAGTCTGAAAAGGAACAATAATAAATTACTTGTATGCAAGATAAAAACCAAATCCAATCACATAAGAAAATAAAACAAGAATCAAATCAGTAGGACCATCAACTTAGTCAGCTTCGCAACCCATTATTATAAAGCAATAAAACATAACATATAACTGTATATTTTGAGGCATAACTAAATCATTCTGTATAAACATAACTAACACAACAACAAATGCTTCAATTTAATTGTAGAAATTACCTAGAATTAAGATGTTCCTTGTCACACTTTAACTTGTAGGGTGCTAACTGAGATTGTCGTCTACAAAATGAGAATATATAAGGAGACCAGGCAGAAATAGTTTATTTTCTGCATGTAGAAACTTTACAGCTATAATAAAAATGCTAAGGATAAATATGTTCTCTGGATAAAATAAATTAACAGATTAACAGTATTCTTAAGAGTGCGAGCAGAAAATTCTCAAAATGTGTCATTAATTGAAAATTCATCAAAGAAAATATCCTAAAATATAGTCAAACACTGGTTTTAAAATCAATAAATGAAGCCAATTCAAGAAGATAAGAATCTGTGAACAAAGCACAAAAGAATATGGTATTTTGAAACAGTTACCTAGAATTCAATGCGATGTTAGGGGGTAACAAAGATGAGTCAGCCCGGGCAGTATCCCTAGCAGAGGCTCCCCCTATTGCACTGTTATTAACTGCACTAGTGCAGCTGGTAGCATGATACCTTTGCATTTCTCCCAACTATCAGCGGCATACTGCATCCAGCATCAAATACTAAGACAATATATCAAATCCAACCTGCATTCATGCAAAAATATATATCAAAATCATTATCACCATGTAAAGCATAAGTAATTTGTTAGTAATTTGATAAAAAGGTGAAATTAAAAATAAAATTGAGAAAGAATAGATTCACTGAGTGTACCACCTCAAACATGAAATCTACAAATTAGCTTATCAACCTCACTCCGACCTGTCAGCAAATTGAAAGTAAAACATCACATCTTAAGGGATATTTAATTTTATGTTTTCAGAGACTAAAAAACAAATAAAAGCAAAATAACCATTGAGGAACGAAATCACAATTTTAATCTCTAATAAATTGTTTGAAACACAGATGAATGACCAATATCAAATCTTCACACCCTCAGTCAAACTTAAGTCATCAGTGCTTCAATCCAGTATTAGAAAATTAAAAAAAATGTCACAGGTTATGCACCCCACTCCAATGTAGCAGTTCTGGTTCTACTATGATGTGGATAGAGAAATCAATTATACAAATATAAAATACAGGATTACTGAACCTCAACCAGGAAAAAGAAAGTAAAAAGGGATACATAGTTCAATTTTTGGAGGTTCTAGGAGATGGAATTCTGAACATTTCCTCCATCAAAGGACTTCAAACAGTTAAGAAAAAATAACCTAACAGCATAAACCAATGACCAATTATAGTAAATAAGTTGAAGCTTAAACCATGACAACTGTCGAAATGTTATTTTCATAACTTTATCTGTATGAATAACTGTTTAGCAAAACTCTGAACATCATATTAATTAAACTTAATAGCGTTGTTCTACTAAGAACTGATCCTATAAATTTATAAAGCTATTTCATACCATCAGAGTAAACAATTAAAGACATTGTAAAAATATGGTCCCCATCAAAACCTTAAACTCTAAACATCTCCCACACTTTGGAAGAAATTATTTAAATTTTGAACTTAAACAAATCATCTCCCAAGACTTTGGAAATGCTAACCGGGAACCTAACGTAAAATGCCATAAAGCAAAACAACAGCATAAACTAATCAAACGACTTTGATCTATTAAAATAAACCAAGAGAAACAAACAACACGTGTCAAAATTCAAAATGTTCCCTCCCCCCCCGTCACTCAATCCAGTTTACCATAAAAACACACAAGAAAGACCAAAAAACTCACCATTTTGATTTAGCCATGAACCAAATCTACTGAATCAAGCAAAACCCCGAATTGAACTAAACGCAAACTATGTTCTTTTACATGCTAAAAGGTAAAATAGAAACCAAATCGTCAAATTTAGAACTACAAGAAAAACAAATTCGATGCACAAACGAGAACTAGGTTTATGTCAGATGCGAGGAAGATGAGCTAATAAGCTAAAAAGATTGCCCTTTTTCCCCTTTTTGCAGATTAGTGAAGCTAGGGTTTTGATGACAAATTCGTAAAATAATGTAAGGAGTCGAGGACGAAAAGGGAATAAGAAAACATATAAACAAGATTGAGATTGCAAAACATAGAAAGTGGAGCGTACCTCTGACAAATTTAGGGATTTTGAATAGAGAGACAAAGAAAGGCCGAAACCTAGAGAGAGAACGGAGGCTTTGGAGAGAGAGATTCAAAGGCGAGAAGGGACTGGGGCTTTGGGTCTTTGACTCTTTTCTAGCTTTGGCTGATGATGACGATGATGGCCTCGACCTTCTGGTTCTTCCTCTGCTCGAACAATTAAAACAGGAAATTTGGGGGCGATCTACTCATTAAAATATTATTATTTCTTGTCAGCCAATCTCCCGTTTTCCCCTTTTGCCCTCTGATTTTTCTTTTTCTTCGCCATCCGCTAAATGACGAATAAATGTAAACGGGGCAAATTGGGGAATTAAATGATTCCACAATTAATTGCATGAAGTGTTGATCAAGTGAACTTAAAAAAAAAATAAAAATGCATATATCTTTACTATCTGACGAGATAAGTATCTTTTGCATCTTAAATATATGTCTTTTTCTTTTTCTTTTTTTTATTATTCACCAAAATATGCAATTTTCGGATTAAATATTGAGATTTTTCTATTTTAAAATTTCATAAACTAAATGGGAAAAAGAAATAAATGACGTTGGTGAAGGTTGAAAGAAAGGCACGTGCTAGCCTATATGCTGGAAAAAGAAAAAAAATCTGATAACCATGAACAAGCTAACCAATCCTTTCTGCTAGTAATGGATGTAAATATGATTTTTTTTTTTTTTTGGGGGGGGGTGGGGTTGGGGCAGCCTATCCTTTTCCTGGAATATGAACAAACAAAGGTGACTTTTTTTTGTTGCCTTGAAAATGAGGAACGTTACGAAATACTTGTCGTGAGCTTAATAATTTTGAACATGTTTTTATTCAACAGAAAAACGTACGAGGAATCAAAAAGCGTTTTCTCATTGAGATCATTGTATAGGCAAGCTACATTGTTTCATTTCATGCACGGTGCACCACTCTGCTCTCTCTTTATGGCGGTGGGAGCTGCGTTAGGAATGTGAGTAAAAGTTGGGTTGTTGTTTCCTTTTTACGGGCAGTGTTTTCGTGATCTTTTAGCTCACCATTATTACACTGTCTTGCTCCTGTTAGTTGAATCCCTGAACATTGCATATAAATCGATCCTTTTTCCTTGTTCTTCTTCCCTTGAGCAGGGCAATGGTGGAGGCTATTTTGTATGCAGGAAGTGCTAGATGTTTAAGAATTTTAATATTTTGCTATTCAATAACCTCAGATCATTTTGGTTGACCAACTTTTTCAGATCCCATTTGCTTCTTTGATTTTATTGGATTTGAGCTTCATGGGTGCATTAAAAAAAACCATACTGGTGGTTGAGATGAGACAGTCCAAGGGTTGATCTAGCTCCCATGCTTTCCCCACTGAGGTTTGAAGGTGTACAACATTTTTAAATCATATCATCCCCTTATTCTTATCTACAATTTCCTAAGAAAATCATGCAAGATTGATTGATAGCAGAGTATTTATGTGCAATAGTGGGAGTTGCCTTGGCATCCCACTTGATATAAATTTTATATAACAGGCAAAATCCTGTTTAGGGTTTTATAATTTATGTGCTAGACAAATACATATTCAAACAAATTTGTAAATGCATTTAGCACAACATGAGTTCAAGTGATTCAACCCAAAGTAGATGAAATGGAATTCTAGGATTGCTACAACTATACTAGTAGTTTGATATGGGACTTTTTTTGGTCAATTATTTCTAACTCATAGTGATATTCAATGCAAGCTAGAAATTTGAGACAATATTAAGGATTTTCCAGTAATGGGTAGCTGGAAAATTTATGGCAAAAGAGTCGGACGTCGTACCACCATTGGCTATTGCCAATAAGAGCTGGAAATCTAAAGATAAACTCGTCTCAACACCAATAAGTGCTAAATCGGCCCAATCATGTTCCTCTATGGACTGGTCAGTTACGAGTCAGTGTCATCGGGAGGAGATGCCGATAATAAATTTCTTTCCAGATCTCCAGAATGTTGTAATGTTTGGCATAGATAGGATGCTAGGTTTAGCAAATTTTTAATAAAAATTTTTATGTAAAAATATATATAAATTTATAGATTTAATTTAACAAAATCTTTCGATTTGTAATCATGAATGTTTAATTTTAATTTTAATTTAAATTTTAATTTAATTTAATAACTTTTAATAGTAAATAACGTTTCCTTGTAATCCTGTCAAGTTTTCATAAATAAGCAACCCATTTGAAATCAGATGATAAGTTCATCAATGCGCCGCCTCAAATTGAAAAATGGCCCTCAAGAATGACTCTTATGGTGCCGTAGACGACCCGAATCTTTAAAATTATTGGTTGCTTTTACGTTGGCTAGTTAACAATGATGACTAATTATAAAACAATAATCGATCTTAATCCTAAAACATAAATATAGCTATCTTAAATTCAACTCAAAAATAGACTAGCCTTGTTTACGGGTAACATGTAAGTATAAAAATTGAACAGAAAACTTCGCTAATAAGTTTTTGTCATCGCTTTGAAGGTCGAGGGATAAGACTCGTTTGCCAAAAGAATTCGAAACGAAAATTAGGGTGAAACTTTCTTTAGTCGGACTCTATTGGATGTCCATTTTTAGAATTGGTCTGTTCTTGCTGGTGCTAATGACAACGACGACAGGGATGATCATTAATGGTAATATTATAGAACTAAAACAGGCCAGTTTGAATGGGCTTAAGTTGAGCCTTTCAATACCTGGGAACCCAATCCAAGGGAAATACTTTGCCACCTTTACGGTCAAGGGAAAAACCCACAAAATTTTCCCTCATTCCCTATTTGGGTATTTTTATTGTTCATTTTCGAACTGCATCATCCATTAATAGCACAAGGGGAGCTACAGTGTATGCAGTAAAAACAAGAGATCAAATTCGATGCTAAAGTGATTGTTTTCTGAAAGTTTAAACCCACTCTAAAGAGTACAGTTATGCTAAGGAGAGAGAGAAACATTTAGCTGAGTGGCAACTACAAAAAAGTAACTACTTGAATATGCTTATGCCTAAGTACCTTTAGTTAATAATTATGGGATTATTGTACTTTCTCTTTCGCCTCCTAGCTTTCCTCAAAATTCGTTCAGTCTCTTCATTTGCTTCCTCTATCAAAATGTTTGTTGTGTCATCTTAAAAAACAAGTTCGGAAAGATGATGAGAAGAGAAATTAGAACCTTTACAGCAGCAAGTAATAGAATTATGCTATCCACCTGCTCTCAATAAACCAAGACAAACCAACTGGTGAAAACAGATGTCCGCATACAGTTTGCATCAGTTGAAATTAAAAAAAAAAAAAAAATCTAAAGCAAACCCTCAAGATAGATGTTATTCTTTTTTTCTGAAGCCTCAGAATGCATTCAAACGGCTCATTAAATTCTTGTAACAAGTTAGTGTAGTTAGCGTTAAATAGGTCGTTTGTTGGGCAGAATTGCTAATAGGATGATGTCTCATGGTCCTAAAACAAATTAGCGTTTGAATTCCATCTCTCCATAGACAGAATGCTGGTCGTTAGCAGTAATCTATGTAAATGCTAATTCAAATATCTAAGAAACAAATGCCTGGCAGATCACAGGAGTCCGGGTGCCTGCCTCAGTCAGCAACTTTTAAATAGGATAAAAATTATAACTAATAAGAAGAAACTGAATCATGTAATCTAACTCTCTCATTTAGTTAAGTGAGTACCTCTTTCCTTGTCATCAAGCAAGCAGGAAAAAACTCCATCAAACTCTTCATCTGATTCAATTAAGATTCTGTATGTTTCCTGTATCATGGACTGGCATTTCAATTAAGCACAAACAACTCAATGCAACAAATAAGCTAAAACGAGCTATCAAGTCAATTAAAGGAATGTAAGTCCGTGCAACTCATAATATCATGCAAGTCTATTGCCTTAGAATATCCTCAAACAGACCAGCATAACTCCATCAGAACGTATGAAGAATAGGAGCCAGGGGATAAGCGGAGAAAAACAAAACAAAAAAGAACTACCTGCTCAACAGAAGAAACTCCTTTCCTCTTGTTCTCTTTACAGGATGCCCTTTCATTTATAGTAGATTGTTTCATTTTTACAGATTTCCAACCTCCTTTTTCTACATTTGGAGCTAGACTGGGTTGCTCATAAGCTTTTGGAGGCACAGCTTGCCTAGAAGCAAGAGAAATTTTTTTAGAATTGTGAGGAGGCTAGAGAACTTTAAATTTCAAAAGAAAAATTTTTTTCTTAAATCTGCATCAATTGAACACCAATATCCTTCTGTTTAGCATTTCAAAATGATAATATCACATGTGTTTTCTCTATATGAGAGTAAATAAAAGAAAGAGGAAAAAGTATTCAACGATCAAACAGAATAATGATGGAGCCTATAACTGGTCTGAACAAGCTGAGAAATAACCATGAAAGTATGGTGTGAATATCACATACTTCTTAACTGCCTGTGATTTGGTTTGTGGAGTTGCACAACAGCCAGTAGACTGCATATTCATAAGTAAGAAAATTTTACTGAGAAATTTTATTGTCATGACATGGCTGCTTATAAGATTAAGGGTTAATTCATTGACAATAATAAAGCACCTTAGGTAGAATAGCAGTAGCAACTGGATCTTTTTTGCTGAGTGTCTTCACATTGCAAGCAATTGCCTGAAAGAAACTACACAATGAAATAAACGGCTTTCTGTACAAGCTGAGAAACATGAAAGTATTGTAAAAAGAAAGTCTACCAAATTTGATGGAAAAAGTTTGTAAATGGGGTACATTTGAGAGCTGTTTATATTGGGAAAAACAAATGATGATTTACTTCAACAGAATTTTCATCCCATTGGAGGCCAGGAACTGAGTGTATCATCTTAAAGTTTGAATGTGGAGCATAATACATACCTTTATTTCGTTGGTGAAGGTGTTGCAAAGCTCATTTTGTAGTTTGATTAGAGAAACTTCCATCTGTTCTGGTAATGCAGAAAGCACCAAGAAGATCTGTTGTAACTTGTCTCGATAAATATCCTTGTTTAGTTGATCTGATATTTCTTTCATGCTGCCATCAAGGCTGGCTTTGATAACTTCTTGACCTTTGTTCTGTTACCATACTCAGTTGTCTATATATCTATAGATGCTCATAACAACAAGGCTAGTCAATTTACAAAGTAAAAAATGAGCATAATGATGTTTTGTTACCATTAGCTGTAAGGAGGTATCTTCAGCAATCAACTTCTGCTGTATCCCTTCCACTGAAATAAAATTGATAAGAAATTTCATTTGACTAAATAACTTCGTAGGCTTCAAACTTGTTCATTCTTCAATGAAAAGTAGCTTTTTATTGCCTTATATCAAACAATATGTGTTAGAATTACAGAAGATAGAAAAACTTATTAATAGTTATAAGCATTGTGCAATAAGTTATCATCTTTTCCAATTTTGTAACCTTAAGGAACTGGATGACTCACTTTCCAGCAACACTTCTTTTGTTCCTTTGTTCAATTGCATTACATCACTCTGAACAGTATCCAAGATCATTCCAAATCTGTTTAATGAAGTTTCAATCATTGAAAGCAGGTGCTCAAGTTCTTCAGAAGTTTGACCTGGTAAGGCAAATAAAAGTTTCAGCATCCATCCATAGCCATAAGTCTGTAACATAACAAAATGTAGTTCAAAAGCTCAATTAAGGTACTCAAAGGAAAGATCATTAACCTGGTTACATTAAACATAGGCTTTACTTATAATAATATAAATAAATAGTAAAGTTACATCTATGCTCTGGAGCAGGAGCAGAATTCCATTTGCGTATTAGGTTGGTGGAAGATCTAGAAATCGGCAATTGACTATCTTCCCTTGTAAAGTTGGTTGAAGGCAAGCCAGAAAACATCTTGGTAGTATTTTCTCGTTCTTGAGAACCAAATCTCTGCAACGATGAAGTACGCAAAGACTATTTTGCTTATAAGAAAAAGACATAGAGATTCACGTACAAACTTAAATGCTGGAAAAATGGAGATGAGATTAAACCTGATCAGTTGTCACGACTTCATCGAGTGAGCTTTGTGAGATCTGAGAAAACAAGGCATGCTGAGATGATATCCCCTGTGAGAATGATTGTTGTGATGGCTGAGATCTAAGCTGCGATGATCGTGGTCCACTCGGTGCCAGGCTCGATCTCCTTCACATATATTAACCAAACAACGCAAGTCAATTTCAAATTTTAACTCTTAGGTATTAGATGATGCTAATCTTGAAATTGTAAAAACATGGTTTTCTTTGCGAAATAAAATTTCCATAAGTAATTCTTATTCCCCTAAAAAAAGTATGAAAAAAATATGAAACTCGGAAATTTGAAAAATTGTCTAAACCTCCACGAATTAAATATTTTAATTATTTTATCTTTTTATGCATTTTCTCGGGAAACAAACGAGAATCATTTAAGGTGAAAACAAACCTTGTATGAGGAAGAACAGATATGGAGCTCAGATCGCAAGCTTTGTTGATCTTCAACTTCATTTATACCGAAATCGATGAATCTTTTAGAGCGATGAATTCAAGCCCTTATTTACCTAAACCCTAAAGAGAACGGATTTTTTTTTCTTTTTGAGTGTGATAGTTGGAGTTTGAATTATCTATAAAAAAAAAAAAAAGAATAAAAGAGGGAGAGAGAGGAAAAGGAAAGATTAAAAAGGGGGTTGTCAGTTACGAGTAAAAAGCTCCCGAAGGCATGACATGATGATGCTTATATTGGGAGGATGGCGGGAAACGGACCGGGTCAAAAGCGGACGGGGTGTTCAGTGTTGTTTGTTTGGGTCCGGATTCCGGAGCAATTTGACCCGATGCGGGGTCCAAAATATTCTATCGATAAGCCCAATTTGGGCCCTTTTAAGATTTTTAAAAAATTGTTTGATATTGTTAATAATTTATCTTAATTTAACAAACCCCAATTAAAACATAATTCTCTTTGAAAATTTTGATATTTTGTTCAATGATTCTCTTATAGAATTGACCCGGTGGGAATTTTTGCGTACATGATCCAAAATTCCTTGTAACGAAAAAATTTTTTCGAAATGAGATTGTACTGAGAATTTATTTTTGATATATTATAATTATATAAATTTTTATATATTATTAACAAATTGAATAATATTGTTTTATAATTAAATAAATTAAATGAAATCATTTTATTAAAGTGTAAAATTTTTTAAATTTTATTAATTTATTATGTATCCATTTAAAAATTAATATTTAAATAACTCATGCATACGTCGATTTGTATTAAATATAAACTCTATTGTTAAAGGTTGTTGACAGGAAAACAAACCTCGTGTATGCTATAAACAATGGAAATTTGAAAAACCTCTTGGATCCTTTGGCTGGAGATTGGCCATTTGTGGAAGATGAGCAATTGGCTAACCTAGCTTTGAGGTGCTGTGAAATGAACTCAAAGACTCGGCGTGCAGACAGCTCCAACTGATGTGTGGAGGGTGCTTGAGCCAATGAGGGCTTCATGGGGAGACTCATCCACATTCCGACTGGGTTCTGAAGCCTCCTTCCTTTTTTATCTGCCCTATTTTCTAGGTAAGTTATGCTGTTCCTGCGCTTATCTTCATATACTTCTTGGAGTGGCACATCTGCAATTACTAACTTCTCCCTCCCTGATCCCCCATAGAAATGGGTGAAAAGGAAAGAAAATTTTTTTTTGATATCCCTTGGGAAATAATTCACAAATGTAGCCAACTAGTCATTCTTTAATGTAATGAATACTCGCAGTGTTACTTTCACTCCTCTGTTGATTGCTTCATGAACTCCCCTCTTGAATCTCCAGTCTCAGAAAGGGAGAAAGATGCAAGAATTAACGTGGGTGACATTGGACGAGGAAATAGTAGTACTAGATTCTCACTTTTACAGTTGTACTTTCTGTTTTACTGTGAGCCCCTGAGATAAGACGATCATTGTTGATTGTACTCTCCCATCTCAGTCATGCTCATGTCATACTCTCCCAAATAAAACCTACGACACAGACAAATGTTTATCTCCTTGGTTTTGTTAGCTTTAAGGCTTTTATCTCCTTCTTCACACAGATAAAAGTGAAAAGAAACAAAAAAAAAAAAATTTAGATGAAAAAAAAATGAATTTTCTCGTAAGAGTTTTTTAGATATAAAAGTAATTTCACTTTAAAAGAAACTAACACTTTAAGGCAGAAAGAAGGTAGGAGAACCAAGGAATAATATGTTTACTATATCCAATACGACGAGAAAAAGAAGAAAGGGTGATGGCAATGTGAAACCAGGAATCACCGACGAAACCAAAAAGATGAAAAAAAAAATTTTGTTTCGACCCAAAAGCAGCCAAAAACATTTTGCTCATTGGATTATTCTGGAACTCATTTTTTTCCTTTTAATATTAATTATATATTATTTACATAAACAGGCCTTAACGTAGGGAATCTTTCTCTCTTTTTATTTGGTTTGCATAGTGTCATTGACGCCGGATTGACGTGGATCTTAGCCTTGAAGGTTTCTTGGTATACATAAGATAAATAATTGCCTTGGCCGTGGCTTTACTGTGTCCTGTGTCTGCAACTTCAGAACAGGTGGATTCAGGGAGTTATCAAATTGGGTGATCAGAGGAGAGAGATCATTAAACAACTCCTGGTAACAGCATGGCTAGTAATTATGATACCATATATGTTGCAGTAAGAGAAGTTGACGCAAGTCGGCTCACTTTGTTATGGACATTACGTAATCTTTGTCCTCTCCAAGTTTGCTTTCTTCATGTTCATCAGCCTTCCAAAATGATCTCCTCCAGTAAGTCAACTCACTGAAATAGTAACATGTGGATCTGCTGAGTTAAAGAAATTGGACTTTCTTTTCTGTTTATTCTAATGGTTTCTGGGAGATTCTTTGCTATATGTAATCTGATTTCCTTTTTCAATTTCCCCAGCCCCTTATGGAGGTGGTGGGGATTTAGATGATACCATGTTTGACCAACGACAACTCAGTGGTGTAGACGTAGTTGGAAAGGAAATGATGCATCGGATCATGAATGAGTGCGTTCGTTTTTGTCATCAAGCAGGGCTACTATTTCTTCTTCAGTCTTCTTTTCGTACAGCTGCTCTTTCAACGGCTACTGAACTCAGCAGAAGAGTCATGTTTGCTTAATGGAAAGTTATTTCTATCTTTGTGGGTTTATATATCGGTTTTGTAATGTTAGGTATGAGAGCATTTGTTGATTATTTAGTGAAACATGGGTGATTGCGAACATTGAATTTTTGTTGTTGAATACATTGAAAGAACCCCAGACTAGTCTCGGCACATCTCTAAGGGTTTGATAGTGGAAATCGAATTAGTTTTTCAACTTTTGGGGACCTAACATCAAGTTAAATCCAATTTCAATGAGTTGTTTTTGACGGAGAAAGATTCAAAATAATTTCCTTGTATGCCCATAAACAGTTTTCAAGAATTTTGTTCTAAAGCAGTTCTTCAATATCCTGTAGGCGAGTGCAACAAGCGTATATATTCAGAAGGATAATGTTGCAAAGGGGCTTGTGCTACTGATTCGTCGGCACAATATCAAGATACTAGTCATGGGAGCAGCAGCTGACGAGCACTTTTCAGAGTACAAGTAACTTGTTATTAAACAGTTCACAGTTTATGTACCCAAAAAAAAAAAGTTCTCAGTTTCTTTAACATTCATAATGCTATTTATTTTCTGCACTCATATGCTGAACTTGACCTTAACATTGCAGGGGAATGTGGCTCATGTCTAAGAAAGCACAATATGAAAACGAAAATGCACCACTTTCCTGTCAAATTTGGTTCATCTGCTATCAGCAGCTTATCCACACAAGGTATGCTCAATGATTGCCAAAATCCTGATTCTAATTTATGTGTTTTATCTGTTGGAACTTTTGAGATGCATATTTCAAACTGATGAGTGAGAAGTTGTGTCTCTGACTTTCAATAATTTATCATCAATGAGATTGCACATTCCAAATGCTTCATTATATTGCCTTTAAGGTCTTTAGTGCAGGTTTGAAACTGGCAATCATCAAATGCACCAAGTCCATCAGGTTTCAGTAATTTTTCAAGCTCTGGTGATGCTGTTAGTATTTTAGACTCGACTGTGTTTGAGAAAGGAGAGCAGAGTGAATGTGAGCTTAAGCCATATGTGGAGGTTTGTGATTCTTTGTCAATGCCCAATGTACAGGAACACGGTAGTACATAATTTCTATTCACATACCATAAAAGCTACATGTTGACAATGTCCACAATTCAAATTTCTATTGTCATATGCTGATCATCACCAGAGCCATTTTACCATCCCCTTAGCTTAATTTTGAACTGGAACCTGTGAAATGAAGCATTTTCATATTTAAACCGATGACTGATAATGTCCATGATGGTTCATGGCTTTTGGCAGGAAGTAGCAATGATCAACTCTATGATCAACTTGAAAAGGCCCAGCGAAAAGCTGGAGGTTTAAATCGAAAAGCATTTGAGGAGTACGAAAGGCGTGTGAAGGCTGACATAGAAGCTACCCAGGCTATGCGCGGAGTAATGCCTTCGGCAACTGACTGGAATTCACCAGCTGCCCAGAATTTTCATTTTTTCATTGTTTTTTTTAAGTACCGGATAGTTGCTAATCCCCGTCTTTAATTTACAGGCAAAACAATTTGAAAGGTTGTGCAATGAACGCATGAGAGAAACTGAGGCGGCACAAACAAAACAGAATGAGGACTTTAAAAAGATGAAGAGGCAAGTAGCCAACTCAGATTACAAGATGAAACAATTAGAAGATAAGTTGTCATCAGCTGTGAAGCAGTTACAAATTTCACAAAAAGAACGACATGAGTTGCAAGCAGAGCTTCAAAATACTCGCGAAGTAACCGAAGAGCTTTCGAGAAAACAAGCAGAGATTCAGCCACCCTTTACGGAGTTTTCCCCCTCAGAGATTCAGGAAGCCACTGAGAACTTTCACCCATACTTTAAGATTGCAGACGGCTGTCGAGGGAGTGTATACTATAAATGTGTCCTTCGTCACATTGAGGTGGCTGTAAAGGTGCTCGGCCGAAATAGCTTACAAGATCCCTCTGAATTCCAACAGGAGGTAAGGAAACTCGTTGCCTATATATTGAGTTTCTGCCAGATTATTCTCCTAAAGTTTACATTCATTGGGCATTTTCACTTTTGTCAATGTCGTTCTTTTAATTTGAAGGCTAACATTCAACCAGATTGCAGCTACCGATACCTGAAGCAGCATAAAAGCTGTTGAGAGTACAAATTTTAAATTCGAAGATGTTACATAATTACAATAGAGTGAAACAAAGCTTGTTCTCCTGTATTTCAGGTTGATGATTTGAGTAAACCGAGGCATCCAAACCTAGTAACTCTCATTGGAGCGTGCCCTGATATACGGGCTCTAATCTATGAATATGTTCCTAATGGAAGCCTTGAAGATCGTTTGAACTGCAGGAATGACACACCGCCGCTGTCATCACAAACTCGGATACGTATAGCCACTGAGCTATGCTCTACTCTCATGTTTTTACGTTCCAGTAAACCGCATAGCGTAGTGCATGGCAACTTGAAACCTGGGAATATTCTCCTTGATGCCAACTTTGGCTGCAAACTTAGTGACTTTGGAACCCACCGTGCACTCTCTCTTCTGGAAAACTCAAGCAACGAGCATCCTTACCTTGATCCTTATTTTTGTAATACAGGAAGATTATCTCATAGTTTAGACTCATACCCGTTTGGCATTATACTATTACAGTTACTGAGTGGGAGATCAACTCAGGCTATAGCTGAGACTGCACAAAATTCATTAAATAGACGAAATCTGAATTCCTTCTTAGATTCTTCTGCTGGAAAGTGGCCACCCCAAGTTGAACAGTTGACTCGTTTGGCTATAAGATGCTGTGACATAAACCGATGCCATCGACCTGATCTTGCTTCAGAGGTTTTGGAGGTGCTTGAAACGATGAGACCTTCTGGAGCCTCATTATCGTTCCTTCCTGAGTCTGATGAAGATAATCGTGAGCCTCCATCTTATTTCATTTGTCCCATCTCACAGGTTAGGTCCATTCTCCGTTATTCTTTGATTGTTTAAATATCCCCTTTGGTGGTTTATCTACCAGAATTAAACTCTAATTCTGTCGATTAAGTCTGGACATTGTTGCCAAGATGGTTTATCCACGAGAATTAAACTCTATAATTCTGTCCCTTAAGTCTGGACTTTGTTGCCAAGAATCAAATTTGGATTATATCTGCATCCAATAAAACACACTTTTCAATTCATTTGATAATTGGCTTGCGGGAAGTTATGATGGATCCGCCTGTGGCAGCCGATGGTTATACTTATGAGGCAACGGCATTGCAGGAATGGCTGGCTCACCATGATACCTCCCCTATGACAAACCTTAGGCTTCCACATCACAATCTCATCCCTAACTTTCCTCTTCGTTCTGCCATTCAGCAGTGGCAGCAAAATCGTTAAAATTGTATTTTGTTCCAGGAACATGTTTCACTAGTCTCCTCCTAGTTTATATTGTTTTTTTATCCTTGGATTTTTCTGCTAGTCCTGTATGTTGTTTGTATAACCATTTCAGAGTCAAGAAAAGATATTTTATAAAACAAAGAGTGTTATATATTATTGCAAAATATTGACCTAGCCTCATTGCTGAGTACCTCAATAAAGTTGCCATGATACAACTGTTTTTGTTTTGATATAGAGCATTGAAAATTTTCTTTACTTCTTAGCTCTCTTTAGTGCCTTATGCATCTAACATTCTAGCGTTCTGTCACTTTAAATACAGCGTTAACTCAGATTTATACGCGGCCAAACATTAGCTCAGAAGACAACATGAAGTTAGGTGGATGAAACATACCACTCGTACAAAAGATCACTCTGAAATACAGTCTTTTACGCAGGTTTTAGGCTAATTTCAAACTCATCAATTACTTTGTCATCATTTTGATCATGGGTTTACAGAAGGAACGGTGAAGGTTCTACGAGATTAGTTGAACTGGTTTAAAAGTACTCTGTTACCGGTCAAGTTCTAAAGGAGTTGCAATAACCATACTCCAAATATTACATGCTTTCACTACAACCTAGAGGTAAAAGCTTTTTCAACTGGTTCTGTACTAGAAGCCTGCAGTTGTCAAAACTGGTTATTCAGTAATTACGTTTAGAACAAAAAAAAGTCTTCTATATTGTGATTTACAGTTATAGAAGTTAAAATATGTTCTGCAGTTATCACAATATTGTGAATTTTTTGCATCAAAAAATTTTATAGAGTTGTCAAATAGATCATTAATCACTAAAAAGAAGAAATGTTACTGTATCAAGGAATACTGAATTAGGCTACCATAATAAAAGGCATGTCTCCGTAAAAGTCAAGCCACTAGTTCAACATTATGCTAGAAAGGCATCACTTGAACACTGGTTAAAATAACTTGTTATATGTTTGAATTATAAACTGCTTATATTTGGTATTATCTTAATACGGGTAGCCAATCTCCTCTTATGTTTGATATTATCTTGATGCGAAGATCTAAAAAATCACTGTTTATAATTAAACAGTATGATATGATAGCTCAGACTCAGACACAGATAACTATTCAAATGATCATTGTTTTGAGCATATGTCAGTTTAAAACTCTAAAAAAACCCAACTCTTAAACTTCCAAAAGTATCTTTAGCTCTAGTTCAGATCTTTACCCATAAACGCTCTCCTCCCATTATAGCTCAAACCATAATTAATCCCATTGTCTTACCAAAAACCCTTTGGCAAAAACAGAAAACGTTTTTCATAATCACTGATGAGAATGTGTTTTCTATAGACTTTATTAATAACTTTGTTATTTTCAAATATTCTTAGGTTATCAGATAACCCAAAAAATTTTAAGATCATCACTTCTACATAAAGAACTAGTTATTGGTTTTGATGTGATTTCTAGTATACCACATTTAAGAAGGTATCAAATTTGAAAGTTATTTTCGGCTTCGAAAAAACCTTCCAAACCTTTTCACAATCCAAACAGAAGTTCATTCTGTCTGACTTTGGGCAGCTTTTTGCAAAGTGTCCTGGTTTATCGCAAAGAAAACATTTGTTTCCTTTCTGCTTCGGGTTTCTTTTATTTCTGCCCACCTTGAATTTCTGAAATTTTCTGAGCTTTTCAGTAGATCTGAAGATTTTCTAGTGTCTGGAAAAATGAGGGTTTCTGGCCTCAATCAGGAACTTTTAAATAGGATAAAAATGATAACTAATAAGTAGAAACTGAATCATGTAATCTAACTCTCTTATTTAGTTAATTGAGTACCTGTTTCCTTGTCATCAAAGAAGCAGGAAAAGCCTCCATAGATCTCTTCATCCGATTCAATTAAGATTCTGTACTTTTCCTGTACTGTGGACTGGCATTTCAATTAAGCACAAACAACTCAATGCAGCATATAAGCTAAAACAAACTATCAAGTGGATTTAAGGTATGTAAGTCAGTGCAACTGGTAATATCATGCAAATCAGTTGCCTTAGAATTTCCTCAAATAGACCAGCATAACTCCATCAGAACGTATGAAGAATAGGAGCCAGGGGACAAGTGCAAGAGAAAAACAAAAACAAATAAGAACTACCTGTTCAACAGAAGAAACTCCTTTCCTCTTGTTCGCTTTACAGGATGCCCTTTCATTTATGGTAGATTGTTTCATTTTTACAGATTCCAACCTTCTTTTTCTACCTTTGGAGCTAGAGTGGGTTGCTAAACTTTTGGAGGCACAGCTTGCCTAGAAGCAAGAGAATTATTCTTAGAATTGTGCGGAGGCTAGAGAACTTTAAATTTCAGAAGAAAAAAACTTTTTCTTAAATCTGCATCACTTGAGCACCAATATCCTGATGTTTTGCATTTCAAAATGATAATATCACGAATAATGATGGAGCATACAACTTGTCTGAACAAGCAGAGAAATAACCGAGAAAGTATAGTGTGACTATTACATACTTTTTACCTGCCTGTAGTTCGGTTTGTGGAGTTGCACAACAGCCAGTAGACTGTATATTCACAAGTAAGAAAATTTTACTGAGAAATTTTAATTGTCATGACATGGCTGCTTAAAAGATTCAGGGTTATTCAATGAGAATAATAAAGCACCTTAGGTAGAATAGCAGTAGCAACTGGACCTTTTTTGCTGAGTGTCTTCAAATTGCAAGCAATTGCCTGAAAGAAACTGCACAATGAAACAAAAGGCTTTCAGTACAAGCTGAGAAACATGAAAGTATTGTAAAAAGAAAGTCTAACAAATTTGACAGAAAAAGATTGTAAATAGGGAAGATTTGAGAGCTGTTTACAATGGGAAAAGGAAATGATGATTTACTTCAACAGAATTTTCATCCCTTTCCAGGCCAGGGAACTGAATGTATCATTTTAAAGTTTGAAAGTTCTATGCATTTTGGAGTTCTCTCTTACAGCATAATACATGCCTTTATTTCGTTGGTGAAGGTGTTGGAAAGCTCATTTTGTAATTTGATTAGAGAAGCTTCTGTCTGTTCTGGTAATGCAGAAAGCACCAAGAAGAACTGTTGTAACTTGTCTCGATGAATATCCTTGTTTAGTTGATCTGATATTTCTTTCATGCTGCCATCAAGGCTGGCTTTGATAACTTCTTGTCCCTTGTTCTGTTTACCGTACTTAGTTGTGTATATATCTATAGATGCTCATAACAACAAGGCTAGTCAATTTACAAAGTAAAAAATGAGCGTAATGATGTTTTGTTACCATTAGCTGTAAGGAGGTATCTTCAGCAATCAACTTCTGCTGTATCCCTTCCACTAAAATAAAATTGATAAGAAACTTCATTTAATTAAATAAGTTCACAGGCTTCAGAATTGTTCATTCTTCAATGAAAAATAGCCTTTTATTGCCTTATATCTAATAATTTGCGTTAGAATTATAGAAGATAGAACAAGTTATTAATAGTTATAAGCATTGTGCAATAAGTTATCATCTTTCCCAATTTTGTGACCTTAAGGAACTGGATGACTCACTTTCCAGCAACACTTCTTTTGTTCCTTTGTTCACTTGCATTACATCACTCTGAACAGTATCCAAGATCATTCTGTTTAGTGAAGTTTCAATCAGTGAAAGTGGATGCTCAAGTTCTTCAGAAGTTTGACCTGGTCAGGCAAATAAAAGTTTCAGCATCCATCCATAGCCGTAACATAAAATGTATTTCAAAAGCTCAATTAAGGTACTCAAAAGGGAAGATCATTAAACTGGTTATATTAAACATAGGCCTTACTTATAATGATATAACTAAATAGTAAAGTTACATCTATGCTCTGGAGCAGAAGCAGAATTCCATTTGCGTATTAAGTTGGTGGAAGATCTAGAAACCAGCATTTGACCATCTTCCCTCGTAAAGTTGGTTGGTGGCAAGCTAGAAAACATCTTGGCAGTATTTTCTCGTTCTTGAGAACCAAATCTCTGCAAAGATGACGTACAAAAAGACTATTTTGCTCATAAGAAAAAGACATGGAGATTCACATACAAACTTAAATGCTGAAAAAATGGAGATGAGATTCAACCTGATCAGTTGTCACTACTTCATCGAGTAAGCTTTGTGAGATCTGAGAAAACAAGGTATGCTGAGATGATATTCCCTGTGAGAATGATTGTTGTGATGGCTGTGATATAAGCCGTGATGATTGTGGTCCACTCGGTGCCAGGCTCGATCTCCTTCACATATATTAACCAAACAATGCGAGTCAATTTAAAATTTTAACTCTTAGGTCTAAGATGATGCTAATCTTGAAATTGTAAAGATTTTCTTTGCAAAATAAAATTCCCCTAAAAAAAGTATGAAAAAAATATGAAAATCAGAAATTTGAAAAATTGTCTAGACCTTCACGAATTAAATATTTTAATTATTTTATCTTTTCATGCATTTTTTGAAAACAATAAAAAATAATTTATATTTGATACATTATTAATATATAAATTTTATATATTATTAATTAATTAATATTATTTTATTAATAAAATAAATATGTTATTTTATCAATAAATGAAAATTTAAAAATATATTAATTTTTATATATTTATTTTAAATATTAATATTTATTTATTAATACAATTATATCATTTGATTTACTGATACTATATAAAATTTATACATCAATATCATATTAAATATATTCTACATCATTTAAAGGTTGCTGGCAGGAAAACAAACCTTGGGAATGCTTTAACTAATGGAAATTTGAAAAACCTCTTGGATCCTTTGGCTGGAGATTGGCCATTTGTGCAAGCTAAGCAATTGGCTAACCGAGCTTTGAGGTGCTGTGAGATGAACTGAAAGAGTTGGCCTGCATAACTTTCAACAGATGTGTAGTACTGATTCACAAATGTAGCCAACTCTTCATTCTTTAATGTAATGAAAACTCGCAGTGTTACTTTCTATCCTCTGTTGATTGCTTCATGAACACCCACCTTCAACTGCCAGTCTCGGAAAGGGAGAAAAATGAAAGAGTTAACGTGGGTGACATTGGACGGAGGAAAGGCCGTGAGCAGAGTTGACGAGGGATTTAATCGGAGTGAGATTTTGATTTTTTTAATTTGATTTGATTATTTTTTTAATATATAAATTTAATTCGATTTGATATTATATAAAATTATATTTAATTCGATTTAATTTAAAGTTAATAAAATATTATTTTTAAATATAAATATATAATTAAATTAATATTTTTTATAAATAATGAATCAAATCAAAATAAATTTATTTAAAATCTGATCTCGATAATTTTTATTATTATCAAATTTGATCTTATCTAAAATTAAATTAAAAATTTAATTAAAAAAATTGAGTCGGATAAAAATAAATACGGATTGAACTGCAACTCTTGAGGTAAGACAATCATTGTTGATTGCACTCTCCCATCTCAGTCATGCTCATGTCATACTCTCCTCAATAAAACCTACGACACAGTCAAATGTTTATCTACTTCGTTTTGTTCGCTTTAAGGCTTTTTATCTCCTCTTCACACAGATAGAAGTTAAAAGAAACAAAAAAAAAAAAAAAGAATTTTCTCGTAAGAGTTTTTTAGATGTAAAAGTAATTTCACTTTAAATAAACGTACGCTTTAAGGCAGAAAGAAGGTAAAAGAACCAAGGAGCAATTTGTTTACTATCTCCAATAGGTGGAGAAAAAGACGAAAGGGTGATGTTAATGTGGAACCGGAATCACCAATGAAACCAAAAAGATGGAAAAAAGTTTTTGTTTTGATCCAAAAGCAGCCAAAAACATTTTGGTCATTGGATTATTTTGGAATTCAATTTTTTTCTTTTTGATATTAATATATATTATATAAATAGACAGGCCTTAAAGTAAGGAATCTTTGGTTTTTTTTGCTATGCGTAGTGTCGTTGATTCCGGATTGACTCCGACCTTAGCCTTGAAGGTTTCTTGGTTTACATAAGATAAATAATTGCCTTGGCTTTGGCTTTACTGTGTCCTGTGTCTACAACTTCAGAACAGGTGGATTCAGGGAGTTATCAAATTGGGTGATCAGAGGAGAGAGATCATTAAACAACTCTTGGTAACAGCATGGCTAATGATGATGATACCATATATGTTGCCGTAGGAGAAGATGAAGCAAGTGAGCTCACTTTGTTATGGACATTGCATTATCTTTGTCCTCTCCAAGTTTGCATTCTTTTTGTTCATCAGCCTTCCAAAATGATCTCCTACAGTAAGTCAACTCAGTGAAATAGTAACATGTTGAGCTACCGAGTTAAAGAAATTGTACTTTCTTTTCTGTTGATTCTAATGGTTTCTTGGAGATTCTTTGCTACATGTAATTGATTTCATTTTTCAGATTCTCCATCCCCTGGTGGAGTTGGTGGGGATTCAGATGATATCATGTTTGACCAACGGCAACTCGGGGGTCTAGACGAAGTTGGAAAGAAAATGATGCAACGGATCATGGATGAGTACCATCTTATTTGCAGTCAATTCGGGGTACTATTTCTTCTTCAGTCTTCTTTTCGTACAGCTGCTCTTTTAATGGCTACTGAACTCGGCAGAATAATCATGTTTGCTTAATGGAAAGTTATTCTATATTTATGGGCTTATCGGTTTTGTAATAAGGTATGAAAGCATTTGGCGAATATGTAGGGAAACATGGGTGATTGTGAACATTGAATTTTTGTTGTTGAATACATTGAAAGAACCACAGACTAGTCTCGGCACATCTCTAAGGGTTTGATTTGGAAATCGAATTAGTTTTCAACTTTGGGGAGCTAACATCGAGTTAAATCCAATTTCAAAGAGTTGTTTTTTATGGAGAAAGATTCGAAATAATTTCCTTGTTTGCCCATAAACAGTTTTCAAGAATTTTGTTCTGAAGCAGTTCTTCAATATCTTGTAGGTCAGTGCAACAAGCGTATATATTCAGAGGGACGATGTTGCAAAGGGGCTTGTGGAACTGATTCACCGGCACAATATCAAGAAGCTGGTCATGGGAGCAGCAGCTGACGTGCACTTTTCAGAGTACAAATAACTTGTTATTAAACAGTTCTCAGTTTATGTACCCAAAGAAAAAAGTTCTCAGTTTCTTTAGCATTCATAATCCTACTTATTTTCTGCACTCGTCTGCTGGAGTTGACCTTAACATTGCAGGGAAATGTGGCTCATGTCTGGGAAAGCACAATATGTGAACGAAAATGCACCGCTTTCCTGTCAAATTTGGTTCATCTGCAATGAGCACGTTATCCACACAAAGTATGCTCAATGATTGCCAAAATCCTGATTCTAATTTATGTGTTTTATCTGTTGGAACTTTTGAGATGCATATTTCAAACTGATGAGTGAGAAGTTATGTCTCTGGCGTTCAGTAATTTATCATTAATGGATTGCACTTTCCAACTGCTTCATTATATTGACTTTAAGGTCTTTAATGCAGGTCTGAAACTGGGCAATCATCAAATGCACTAAGTCCATCTGGTTCCAGTTATTTGACAAGCTCTAGTGATGCTGCTGGTATTTTAGACTCGACTGTGTTTGAGGAAAGAGGGCATAGTGAATGTGAGCTTGAGCCATATGTATTGCTTCACTCTGGAGAGGTTTGTGATTCATTATCAACGTCCAATGTACAGGAACACGATAGTACACAATTTCTATTCACATACCATGAAAGCTTCATATTGAAAATGTCCACAATTCAAATTTCTATTGTCATATGCTGATAATCACCACAACCATTCTACCATCCCCTAAGCTTAATTTTGAACTAGGACCTGTGAAATGAAACATTATCAGATTTAAACCGATGGTTGATTTAGGGTTTTTTGTGTGAATTTCACCGATAGTTCTGCAAAACAAAACATATGCAACTGACTGGAATTAACCAGCTGCCCTGAATTTTCCTTTTTTTTTTTTAAAGTACCAGGTAGTTGGTAATCCCCTTCTTTAATTTACAGGCAAAAGCATTTGAAAGGATGAACAATGAATGCAAGAGAGAAGCTGCGGCAGCACTAACAAAACAGAATAAGGACCTTGAAAAGATGAAGAGGCAGAGAGATGAAGAGCATTTAGCTGCCATGGAACAAAAGTCTATGCTGGAAAGCCAAGTTACCTACTTAGATTACAAGATGAAACATTTGGAAGATAAGTTGTCATCAGCTATGGAGCATTTACAAATTTCACAAAAAGAACGAGATGATTTAAAAGTAGAACTTGAAAATACTCGCAATGTAAATGAAGAGCTTTTGAGAAAACAAGAAGAAGAGACCTCAAGCACAAGTATGGAGCCACCCTTTGCGGAGTTTTCCTTCTCAGAGCTTCAGGAAGCCACTGAGAACTTTCACCTATCCTTTAAGATTGCAGATGGCAGTCGGGGGAGCGTATACTATAAATGTGTCCTTCGTCACATTGAGGTGGTTGTAAAGGTGCTCGGCCGAAATAGCTTACAAGATCCCTCTGAATTCCAACAGGAGGTAAGGAAACTCGTTGCCTATATATTGAGTTTCCACCAGATTATTCTCCTAAAGTTTACATTCATTGGGCATTTTCACTTTTGTCTATGTCGTTCTTTTAATTTGAAGGCTAACATTCAACCAGATTGCAGCTACCAATACCTGAAGCAGCATAAAAGCTGTTGAGAGTACAAATTTTAAATTCGAAGATGTTACATACTTGCAATAGAGTGAAACAAAGCTTGTTCTCCTGTATTTTCAGGTTGATGATTTGAGTAAACCGAGGCATCCAAACCTAGTAACTCTCATTGGAGCGTGCCCTGATATATGGGCTCTAATCTATGAATATGTTCCTAATGGAAGCCTTGAAGATCGTTTGAACTGCAGGAATGACACACCGCCGCTGTCATCACAAACTCGGATACGTATAGCCACTGAGCTATGCTCTACTCTCATGTTTTTACATTCCAGTAAACCGCATAGCGTAGTGCATGGCAACTTGAAACCTGGGAATATTCTCCTTGATGCCAACTTTGGCTGCAAACTTAGTGACTTTGGAGCCCGCCGTGCACTCTCTCTGCTGGAAAACTCAAGCAACGAGCATCCTTACCTTGATCCTGATTTTCTTAATACAGGAAGATTATCTCACAGTTTAGACTTATACCCGTTTGGCATTATACTATTACAGTTACTGAGTGGGAGATCAACTCAGGGTATAGCTGAGACTGCAAAAAATGCAGTACTAAATGGAGGAAATCTGAATTCCTTCCTAGATCCTTCTGCCGGAAACTGGCCACACCAAGTTGCACGGTTGACTCATTTGGCTATAAGATGCTGTGACATAAACCGATGCAGTCGACCGGATCTTGCCTCAGAGGTTTTGGAGGTGCTTGAAACGATGAGACCTTCTTCTGGAGCCTCATTATCGTCCCTTCCTGAGTCTGATGAAGATAATCGTGAGCCTCCATCTTATTTCATTTGTCCCATCTTACAGGTTAGGTCCATTCTCCATTATTCTTTCCTTGTTTAAATATCCCCTTAGGTGGTTTATCTACCAGAATTAAACTCCCTAATTCCGTCGCTTAAGTCTGGACTTTGTTGCCAAGATCAAATTTTGGATTATATTTACATCCAGTAAAACACACTTTTCAATTCATTTGATAATTGGCTTGCAGGAAGTTATGACGGATCCGTATGTGGCAGCGGATGGTTATACTTACGAGGCTACGGCATTGCAGGAATGGCTGGCCGACCATGATACCTCTCCTATGACAAACCTTAGGCTTCCACATGACAATCTTATTCCTAACTATCCTCTTCGTTCTGCTATTCAGCACTGGCAGCAAAATCGTTAAAATTGTATTTTGTTCCAGTAACACGTTTCACTGGTCTCCACCTAGTTTCCCATGTATATATTATATTGTTTTTTCATCCTTAGATTTTTCTCTTCTTTTTGGTCAAGATGCTCTTCCTTATTTATAAAAGAGTATAATGGTGTAGAAGAGTCCTATATGTTGATTGTATATACTATTTCAGAGTCAAGAAACGACTTTTATAGAACAAAGAGTGTTATATATAAAATTAAAATGAGTCCTATGTGTTGATTGTATATACTATTTCAGAGTCAAGAAGCGATTTTTATAGAACAAAGAGTGTTATATATAAAATTAAAATATATAGATCTTGCTGCCTCATTGCTGGTGCCTCAATGAAGTTGCCACGGTACAACTGTTTTTGTTATGATATAGAGCATCGAAAATTTTCCTTCGTGCTTAGCTCTAATTGGTGCCTTATGCATCTAACGTCCTAGTGTTCTGTCATTTGTTCTGTCATTTTAAACGGAGTGTTAACTCAGATTTATACGCGGGCATACATTCGCTCAAAAGACAACATAAGGTTAGTCGGATGAAACATACCACTCGTACAAAAGATCACACTTAACTACAGTCTTTATGCAGGTTTTAGGCTAATTTCAAACTCATCAATTACTTTGTGATCATTTTGATCATGGGTTTACAGAATGAATGCTGAAGCTTCTACGAGATTAGTTGAACTGGTTTAAAAGTACTCTGTTACTGGTCAAGTTCTAAAGGAGTTGCAATAACTATACTGCAAATATTACATGCTTCTCTACAACCTAAAGGAAAAAGCTTTTTCAACTGGTTCTGTACTATACGCTAAAACAGGCATACAATTGAGGTACTTATTTTTAATGGTTTATTACCATTATTCTTTTTGTTGTAAGGGCTGAAGTTGCACGTGCGGACAAGGACTTTCTGGTTCTCCTCTTGTCCATAGAGTTTCGAGATCACCTCTCTTCTTTCCCAGTGCAATAAAGGTCCCTGCACCCCAAACAAGAGATTCATGGTAAGAGAAATAAAGTGGAAGACAACATTTCATCTGGGGTTCATGAGCATGGCAATGTAAGTTGCAGCGACTGCACTATTCTTAATCTCATTGCCACTTACCGAGTGTGAAAGGAACGATGTAAAGCAAAGCAGGTTGACCATGTCCATCCATCATGTTCAAGGCCACATACGTGACCAGAAGACCTGTGGAGTGAATTTAAGGAATAGAGCATTAATGAGCCGATGGTCTTTATGTTGCAAGACAGAAGACAAGGAAAAGAAATCTGGAAAATAATATATTCCCATAGAATTAAATAAGGGGCCCAGCAAATCAGGGGAATATCATTTTCGTGCCCTTTGAATTATGAGATTATTAAGTTTAGAGCTAGATAAGCTCTGCAAGTCAGGCTGGAACAAGTTTTTTCCCTTAGCAGTGAAGAGCTTGAGCTTCATCAATTTGAGGCCGAGTTGAATTAAAACAAAGTAAAATTCAAGCTTGGCTTGGTTCCATCATACTCCCCACATATCAACAGGATGAATCTTGCAAATTTAGAATTTCTCATACCTAAACCATAGGCAGTCATTGTCCATACAAAGTACCCTGCTCGAAGTTTCTTCTTTGCCAGCCAATCGTATCTGCAAAAATCATCAACACTATCAGTCAATGAACAGACTAAGCATCAGAAACCAATTTCTTTGTTCGGAACAAATCTAATTATTGCAACATTTGAACAAAGATAGAGCACTAAGAAAACAAACAGAAGCAACTATTTCCAGTTTAAACTATACTGCACACTGAATTCGATCAATAGCAAATTCATAAGCCACAGTAACAGAACTTATGGAATTATTGATGCAAATCTTGTAGATATGGTCTATTAACAAATTAAGAATCAGCATGTTTTGGTTTTATAGTTATAAGGTCTTAAACTACACAAAAGCATAAATAATAGACAAAGATAACAAAGATCAAAATTTAATTTCTAGATCCTGTGGCAACTATTAGCCATGCAAAAGTTACATAAGGCTCCAATATTCAAACCTTAGCGAAAATGCCACAAGCAGTCCAGGTAAGATTATGTCTCCAAATCCAATAACACTGTAGCCACCCCAAGGATCAAACATCCGTGGAATTTTTAGTAGCATTGGTATGCCATCCTCTCCACCCTTATCACCACGAGCTACCTATATAGAAGAAAAATAATAAAATAATGTCATTCCCTCTATTGTCCAACAGGTCTACAGAAAGAATATGATCCATTGTCAGAATCCTATCGTGAAGAAATAATGTTTATAATTACTTACCACTATCATCACACTCTCATGAAACCACCATTTGGAAACAAACACCCAGAAGATATCATACAAGAAAGCACAACCCAGAAGAACTGTTCCAACCTGATTCAATAAAAATTCACCACTAAAGAGCATCAAAAAAATTTTCAACACACTTCAATTATTCTCATATGCATACTGGCTACATGCATATTTTATCTTGTGTGTACAGAAACATGGAGAAGATATGACCCATGTAATAGCAAAACATGCATGCACTTCTAAGCAGTAGGCAGAAAAAGCCAATAAATCAAAGTACTCACCTTGAGATTTGGGACTCGAACAATCTGAAGAACTGTGATTATAAGTGCAATACCCTGATTGAGAGGGCAAGAGAGGAAGTTTAAATATCATCAGTTCACCATGATAAGAGTGCAAATCAAATTAAGTTCCCAGGCATATTAATTTTCAATGAGAAAAGATGTCACTACAAGCAAATGGAGACGTGAGATACAATACAATCACCTGAAGAAATTCAGTATCTAAGAAAGGTACCAATAACAACATATGAAGGTAAGATACTTGAAATGTTAGCTTACAAGAATATCTTGACCTATCCAGGCAAAGGAGATACGGCGATAAACTGCCCAAACAACAGCAAATGTTATGCAGAAGGGACAAACAGCCAGTGTCAGATGTGAAACAGCTCCAAAGAAGGGTACTTTAATATATGATTCTGCAAAGCGCTGAAACCACCTGAAACTATATATATTTAGCTGTCAGTATCATATGATTTTTAACTTGTTTATTAAAACTTGGAAAGAGAAAGCCTGTGTTCTAGGAATAGTGTTGCTTTAAATACATTGTAATAGAGATTTAGTTGCTGACTTCCCTTTTCCATATATTTCTGAGAGAGACTTTGATCTTAATGATGTTCAATTACAGTCACAGGAAAGCAGAATAATAAAGAAGATGCACATGTAAACACAGAAAAGCAATCAGGAAGGAATATGCATACCATGATAACAAAGCCACCAAGCACGTTTGCAGGCCCTGGAAGCACAAAGGGATATCATGGATCAGCATTCATCTCAAAGGAGTCTTCCCCTAAGCCCCAACCCTCTGCCCTTTTACCGGGCCTTATCACAAGAGAATGCTAGAAAAATACAACAGGCAATTCAAATGTGGCTTCTGATTAAGTAATTTTTACATCCAGGCATATTTATTCAACATATGTTTTCAAATTGACGTTCAAAGAAACATTGCACAGTAATGGTTCTCGCACGAGGTAACATATCTTTCGGATAAGTTATTTTTAAGCTGGAAGGATTGTAAGCCTTGCAACTCACACACCCAAGATCTTTGACATGTTTTCTGAAATCTTAAACTCTGTAAGAACATCAAGGAATAGACATCACAGTGTCCACCAAAGTAATGATGACACAGATATACTGGTGCTCAATAAGGAGAGGTGTCTCTGATTGCAGCTCCTGAAACTGATACCCTCCCACTGAAAAGATTCAAGATCTTTGACACATTGAAAAAGGTATTTTCTTCTCTGAAGATGTAAATGTATATGATAAATAGTCTAGAAAAGTACTGAGACATGGATGATGGTGCTCGACGTGCACAAGATGTGCATGTGTAACAACATTGCGGCTTCCATCAAATGGCTTCATAAATCATAACCATTACTCACATTTAGGGACATTGCCGATAACGTAAAATAGAGTCCCAAGATGACCCTTCAGGGCAATATGCTTTGATTAGAGCTTTTTGTAAGATTTTCCAACCAAGCACAGATCAAGAACAGGAAGAAGAGAAACATATAAATACAAGGAAAGAAGACTAGCATCATCATAAAATCTTAGAACTGCCCATAAAAATATTAAGAACTATAGGGCATAATATGATGTAGCTCAGTAACAACTTGTAAACTACCAATAAAAAGATGGAGGAAATAAACCACACCGAACTAAGCATACAACTATATGAAAAAAGGCACACCTCTACACCACCGATGCAAAACAGAACCACCAGGACCTCAATAAACCAGAATGACATAAGCTTGTAAAGCATGACCAAGAAACATGAAGCAATCACAACAAAAAGAACTGCTGATGTTGTATTTATGTCAACATAACCACTCGAACCTGCACCTCCCACTTGTTGAAATTCTTCTGATGCATCCTGTACAAACAACATCAATCAGCATGTCATTGTGGTGAATGATTGAATTATACTGAAAAATCTTTTGCGATATAATAGAACAGAATGTAACAAAGAATGCATAAAATTTTGCTCTTAAAAGGGTATAAAGTGACCTTTAGTAGCTTGTCTTGCTCAATAGCAACTTCTCTAGCAGTCCATGCAGACCAATAAGAAGCACACAAAATGGTACCAACAGCCATTAGCCACAAAAACACTTCAGCAATATCAACTGCAGGACGCTTTGGAGAGTAAAGCGCAACAGAAACTACATAAAGATGAAAAATGCAGACAATTTAAAATCCATTATGACATAATGCCATATGAGGTATTACAAAGCAAGGAAAAAGATCAGAAGAGTATTTTTCCAGAACAACAAAGAGGCTGGATCAACTGTGACGCTGACATAAAGAAATGTGGAAGAAAGAAAGTCATACCCACGGTGTTGTTATTCATATAGTTTTCCAAATTTATGCCAGCATCCTGAGGGAGCATGATAGCTGGGATTTTTATATCTACATCAGCATTGGATTCGCAAACCATCTTGAAGAGTTCTGTAGAATAAGATTAACTGGTTCAGTATTTAGAAAGCAAAAATAAGTTTTGGACTGTTCACAACTGCTCGTAACTGTAATTAGCCGTTACAATAAATTCTATAAACTTTAATATAACATTTCCTATCTTTATGGCTCAATTGATTAAGAATCTAATGCTACCACAATCATAGTGCAAATAAGCTCAAAGGATTGAAAATGATGATATCAAAACAGCTAGAGAATTTGGATGGATAAAATGCAATGAAGTTTAAAGACGTGTCATAAAGAACAGAAAAAGTAATCTTATGAGTAATTTTCCGATCACAGTTGCAGTAGAATTAACATTTTTCATGATGATGGCTGTGGTTGAAAAATGTAAAGATATCAGAAGCCAAAATATAAGCCCACAAAATTTCTTCAAATTTCCAACTTGAAGCAATAATCTTATCATATATTCTGCACAGAAAATCCTCTTTTTATTTTGGTTCACGTACAAAAACTTACTATGAAATGAAGTGAAGATCTATCCACCAAGACAATGCCTCTAAGAGAGGCAGATAGCACATGAATAAGCATTGGGTATGAAGTGAATCTTTACCACACCAGGCCGTCAAGATGGACAAACTCTTAGGAGTTTTAAATAAAAGGACATGAGATACCTGTTTGGTTGTTTATTATGAGGATGGCAGAAGCACCAGCTTCTTCAGCAATATTTGCCTTCACCGTAAAACTACAGTTACCTCGATGCACCAGAATGACCTCCCCTGCAAGCTACCAACAAACAAGATATTCATGATTATGAGAGAGTAGAGGAACAAGGGAAAGGGCAACTGATCAAATGAAAGCACATGTACAAGTCATAAAGAATACATTTATGAGTCAAATTTTATGAATATATTGTAAAAAGATCAAAATTGGAAAACCTGACTCCTAGGTTTGCTGCAACAATCAGGAGGATCTGCAAGTGCAAGCCTGGTATGATTTGCATGCTTTTCCTTTGACTCCATAGTAGGTCCAAAACGCGCACCAACACCAACATACTCATTGGCTTCTAAACCGTTAATCCAGGTTGGGACTTTTACCTATAGAACAAATTGGATCAAATCTAATATACAAAGGCCATATTCATAATTTTGAAAACGATATACCAAATAATATGATTAAACCAAGAAAAATGATACAAATAGACAAGCACCATTTCTAACTCAATTTTCAAAGGGCAGCAAAGAAGTAAGAAAATCTATAATTGAGTCCAAAATTTAGAAGCAAAGAAGATGACAGAGTATTTTCAACAATTTACTTAACTTTTCTAAGCTGAGTTCCAGTAGCAAATATTTCGGAGATTAAAAGCTTTCCAAAAAAACTTATCATCCAAGTAAAATATACTTTTGATCTACCTTAAAATTTGAAGAAAGATTAAGGTTTCCTTAGGCTGCTAAGAAATGTCTAAAGGTGTTTCACCATACCGATACTATGGGAAAAGAGTCCTACTCAACTAACCCAAAATAACTACTTACCTTACTTTAACCAAATTTTTTCCTTCCAATGCATAAAAACAAACAATTCAATAAAGTTAATGAATTTTCTCCCAGCCTTAATCACCAAATGAGAAAAATACATAAAAAGCCTATATCTCAATAATTTAGCTCATAGCAAATTTGACCACTTCTGTTTCCCTTGAGCCAAACCAAAAAGAAAGGAACTCACCAACAACCATATTAACTTTTCCATCAGGACCAAACCCACAAAAATAAGCCTAAAAAGTAAAAATTTCCCACCATTTTCTCAGCAATCAAACAGGAAGAACTAAAAGACAAAGTCATAATTTGAAGTAAATAAATCCTAAGAAAGAAACAATTAAACTACTTATCGAATTTAATGAAACATCTTAACCCAACATCAAGTACAAGAGAAAAAAGTAAGATTCGTTCATCATTCCTCCGTTTCTCAGCAACCTCCTCCATTTTCTCAGCAACCAAACAAACAGCAAAGAGAAAAACAGAGAGAAAAAAAGAGTAAAGTTTAGGGCTTTTATAAAAATACCAGAACAAAGTTATTAGCACAACCAGGTCTCTTTGGTGCAACGTCGTCTTGATGAACTATGTCTCCAGCTGACCCCAACCCAGCAATCAAAACTACTATTAAAATTACTATAAATACACCCCTATTTATTTCCATATTTGGAAATAAATAACATTAAAATAAAAGAAAAATAAAAGTGTTCTAGGGTTTTTTCTTCCTTTATTTCTTCAGTAATATAAATAAAGAAAATGAAAAAAAAAAAAAAAACAGATAGAAGGTGAAGAAGAAATGTGAAGAAGATGAAGGCAGGCAGGCAGGAAATGAAGAGGAAAAATATCACTTTTTTTTTTTTTTTTATTTCTGTTTTTTGAGCGTTTGAATATGAAAGCAGCACCGTGTGGTAACAGTTGTTGACTGGATTTGCTTTTTATTGTTCCCCTGTGTGGTTGACGCTCTTGGTCGGCGTGTGCATTTCACGTATTACAATTTTGGGGTGGACTGGGTCAGGGTCCTAGGGGATTTTTGTTTGTTTTACTAATAAATTAATTATTATTTTAAAAAATTATACAAAATAACATTTATTTTTTTCATTCAAATTATATTATATAATCATTTTATTATGAAATAATTAATTTATTTATTAAAATAAATATTCATTATTTAATTTTTATGATATATAATAAATGATTAATTTTTTAATAATATAATTATATAACAATATTTAAATAAAAAATATATTGACATGATATCACTATTTTATATAATTTTTTTAATTATTCAACGCTTAATCTAGTCTAAATTTTAAATGTACTTATTTTCAACATATTCAATTATTACTTTGATAAGAGTTATTGATTATCTAATAAAAAATAACCATGTCCACATTAAATTTAAATTTTCTGAAAAAAAAAATATTTCATTTAGATGCAATTACAATTACACCAATAATGAGATGTGATTAATATATAAAAATCTTGAATTTTATTGTTTCATATTTTGTTGAGATTAATACAATATTTTTTTAATAAGGTAGTTTTTTATTAAATATTAATCATATATTAATACAATGTTTTAAATTAAAATCTTGAATTCAAATCAAGATTTTGATTTAGTTGAGTTTATGTAGAAAATTCAATGAGTTGAATGACTGAGTTTATGGGAGAAATATTTTTATTTTATTTGTTTAGTGGAGACCACAAACAAAGGGAATGATTCGTTTCCTTGTTAGTTCACCGATCAGCCTTTAGCGGTGGGTGTAGTTGAAAAAGAGAGAGCGCGTGCGAAAATATCTAATCAAGTTCAAAGGTTTACCGGCTGCTGTCGAAATTGGTTCAAAGTTTCCGTATGGACCGTACAGATAGGACCGCATTATAAATAATTACTTGGATCTGGATCAGGTAACATCAACCTCACTGATTTCTTGGTGCATTTCAGCTATTTATTGGTCGAATCCATTTTCAACCATTCAAAGAGAAACACGTGCCAGTACAGGACGGACCTGAGCTGATAAGAGTAGCTGGGTTTCTTTAGACAGACGGCACCGAAGTTGCAGACGGGCCCCCACCTGGATACCAGTCGTGGTAGGCTATTCACACATGCACCATCTGTGATGGTGGAATCACAAGTGTGGGAAATGGCACATGTGTGTACCCCCAATTTGGAAATTTTCAGTTACGGTTTTTTTTAAAATGTTGAAAATATCTGCCACTCCATGAGCTTGGCCAAGGTGAAAATACAAACTACAAATCTTATCACATCAAATTTCCATCGCCACCAAGACCATCATGATAAAACTAATGTCAGGGAAACATTGTTGCTTTCATTTATAATAAACTAAATACAAAAGGGAAAAAATAAAAATAATGGAATTTCGAAAGGACATTTCAAATCGTTGTGGCCCAAAAAACCCAAAGCTGGCTATGTCTCACCCAGCCAGTCTTTCCATGGTTACAGTTCCTCAAGATGTTGGGTCTAGTCCAATCCACCAGACAAACTTCGAAGAAGAGACTTTTTCCCTTTCACAAGCAAACAATTTTAATGTTACAATTTTTCTCACTCAGATGAGTGGAGGAGAATAATTGACATTCAAGACCGTAAACATACCGCCAAAGTCCTCTTATGCTTTACCCATTTATGCCGACAGGCTATAGGGAATCTACATTCACAAGGCTGTAGCTTCTACATATTTAGTACCAATTTTTATGACAAAAAAAAAAAATGGGGTAATAAAATTTTAGAGGAGGGATGGCTGCATGTAAAATGTACTGCGAAACAAACAAGATTGCCGTCCACTAGATAGGGTCCCACAAATTCCAAATCTGAATACTCGACATTTGATTCTAAATTGTAACATGGATTGCAGGTATCCCCGTTACACTAGCGGCTATCAACATCGAACCAAATTCATAGCCAATAATAAATTCCCGAGAAAATGATTGTTTCTACATTAATCATTCGTAGTTGAACAGAAGGCCTACTTATGGTAGTTGAAAAGCTCTTCCGCCTTCGTACAGACAACTGAAGGCAGCAAGAATGTGCATTCTAGCTTAAGGCTATAATTGCCTAAAACATGATTTGGGCAAATATTAGACTTTATGAAATTTTAATTAATGAACACAAATAAGACGTGCTAATTTCTTTCAGGCTCTTGTTCTTTCCTTTTTCCTTAGTAGCTTTGCAAGAGAGTAATTGACTAGAACTGGCTCACCAAGACACAGTTCCCTTCTTGTTTCTTCCTATTATGAAAATACAAAGAGGTTGCCCTCATAATTAAAATTGCATCCTGACTAAGCACAACAAAGAAAAAAATTAAAAAATAAGTTAAAAACTTACAAGGGAACCACAATGCCAAGGATCCCAACCCTTCAAGGTGCCATCTTTCAACCACCTGAAAAGCATCTGATCAAAATTGTCCAGGCTGTGAGCCAAACCGAGGAAGTATCCCCATTGTGGAATCATCTCTACTCCGGATCTGACCCTTGCCATACAAGAATTTTTGGCATTAGTTCTTTACTCATTTGACCAAACAAGAATAATAGTTGGTAACAAAAGAAAACCGATGTTTGGTTTTAACTTCTAAATAACGAACCATCACAATTCACAACCAAGAAAATCATGAACTGAAGTCAGGCATCAGGGGCACAGATGAGAATCCAAACATGTATCCACATTTTATTTACAAGTTCAAATAGTTAATTCACAAGAATGGACACAGTGTAAAGACAAATGAAAATTACATATAATCTGATTAACCCTTTTCACAAGCAAAATTAGACAAACTTATAATAGAAAAGAGAAAGCAGCATGCTTGCATATCTCCTTACCGAGCCATTGCCATTAAGTGAAAAAATGAACTGGTTTCCTTTCTTGACCCAAGGAGAGAATTTCTTGCATTCTTTCTGGCCAATCTGAATTCAATCTACGGGCAAAATCTTCCACCTCCCTACACAAAAGATATAAAGGAAGATCATTATGGCTACAGATGCAAATTTCCTCCAAAATAGTGTAAAACAAATATAAGATATTAACATTGTTTCTTCATTGGCTACAATATTCATTGTTGTTGTCTGCATGCTACTTTTCCTCTACCAGTAGGACTATCCAATTCATATGAACAATCTCTAAAAATAATATGGACAATCCATCAAAAAATAATAATAACATGGACAAGTACACAGATTTTCAACAGATCAAGAGCAATGATTTCATATTCTTCTAAAATTTCAACATAATCCAGATATACAGAATAAACAGAATATCAGATGAAAAAATCTTCTGTTTCTATCATTATAGAGAAGCAGCAGCACTTCCTTCTAGAAATATAAATGGAATTACACATAAATCCTTAAAAAATGAATAAGGTGAGGTCATAAAGTTTATAAAATCTACTGATTACAATATTTACTTGGCAGCTCATCCTGTGCACACTTGTCTGTAATAGAGCAACAGAAAATGGAGGAGAACGAGAGAAGGGCAAAACGACAGAAAGAGGAGAAATAGACCCCAACCGCATCCCTACCCCTATTTTACCTCCCAAATATGCAACATAAAACATCCACTTGATGATATATCTCAAAGAATAAAAACAAAAAAGTCCAAAAACCTCAAAATCTTCGATTTCTTTCTCTACTGCTAATTGGGCAATTAGAAAATGTAAACACTGAGCCCTAAGGTGAAAAATCCAGGGTTATGTGACAATGTTGTTGTTCAATGCTCCAAGAAGAACAAGAAGAAGAAAGGAAGAAAGGAAGCAAAGAGGAAGATTTACAAGGCAAAATCCCTTTACCTGTCTATTCTTTCCTTCAATGCCGGATCAATCTCATCATCAATATCAGCATCATCAAACTCATTCTTATTGGCAATAATATCATCTTCTACATCCTGTAAGGTTGAGGTAGAACCAATAATGGGCTGAATTTTCTGACCAACTTCGGCACTACTGCATGCAGAGTTAAGACCATTTGGCTCCTGAACATGAGGGGAACTTCAGTAACTTGGACAGTATTGAAAGAAAGAAAAAAGAAGAATGCAGAGGTTCAGACCTTATTATGGTTTTTAGTGGTTTCATTGGCAGACATACTCTTCTGCTGATCTTTCCTTCTTCGGTTCTTCTTTTTACTCTTTGAAGTTTTAATCCCTTTAGAATCTGCAAAACAGAATTCCCTTGCCTCCTATGAAGCCTTCAGAAGGAATTAGAAAAGAAGACTAAGGGGCTTAAGGTATCCATAAAAGCAGAACAATTTTAAAAAATTACAATTCCGGTGTATAAAACTTATGTGCCAGTACAGATACCAAATGCCAAACAGAAAAGTAGAATTAGCATTCTTAACACTTTATCTGTTACCTGATATCCATAATGGAGTGCAAAAATTCAATAATTATTGATTTTAGTTTGTTAGAAAATTATTCCCGGATAAAGTTCCTAGACGATGATGATTGAAGGAAATATTAATAATTTTACCATCCTATACTATAAAAAGTTCTCCAATCCTGAAAACAGGCCATCCTGTAAAATCTTCAAAGAAAAGTCATGCTCTTTCCATTTCTTTGCAATTTATATATCATCAAACTGGTTTCCGATAAAGTAGCATAAAACAATTTACTTTTCTGGTCCAATTTTGGGCCTATCATTCACTCTTCAGTCCCTCACACTCCCAAATGACTGCAGAGAAATAGAGGACGTTTGAACATTGATATTGACACATGAGATGCAACCATAGTAGCTAAAGTGAATTTTACTATTCCTTTTACAAGAAGAGCTATTTAATCAGTATACCATAAATCAAGACACTTCAGTCAATTAAGCATATCAACCAACCAAAATACATCTGAAACAGAGAAGGTTTTACAGAACTACAATCATTGGGTTGGAAAATTAAATATATGGAGATACACTACATCAGAGCAAAACTTAAGCATACCTTCATTGCCTCCATTAATAAAAGACAAGAGGTCATCAACTGAACGATCATCGACATGCTCTTCTTTAACCTCAGCATTCTGAGACAAACAGAAATCTTAACTTATTTACATGCATTTTAAGCAGGGACTTGAATAATAAGCCTTCTAAAATTAATTGACATAGCAAGTTCGTGTCAACCAGTAAAACACACTACTAAGGAGTAAAATTACACAGGTAGGAAATAATCAGAGCATGAAAGCAGTAGAAAACAAGTAAGAGAAAGTCACCTTTAGTTTCTCCCTCTCTTTTAGTTCCTTCCTCTTTTTTGCATACAATCTATTCAACAGTCGAATGCGTGGGTCATCAGTTGTGTTTTTCAGAGGCTCCAACTTTTCTTCCTAAACAAACCAAATAAGTATTAAAAATAAGAAAAGAGATTACGAGAGTAGACATAATAAATAAGGAAGTTTTAACTAGCACCAGACACCTCAGTAAGATCATCAGGCAAATGAAATATCTCACGTATCTCCTCGGGGTTTTTTCCCTCAATAATTCGTGCAAGGGCACGACTGGTAAGATCAACTAGAGGCTTTAACTGAAGGCTGTCAGCAGCAGATGTCAACTCACAGAGCCTCTTTGTGTCCATTCGGATAAACCTTTCATCAAAAGACTTGCGCTCCTTCAAACAGAAAAGAAAACACACAAAGGAAGGAAAAGAGGAAGCTCAGAGTCAGTTTACTATATGAACTGAATATCCTATAAACACATATTCTTTTTCTTTTTGCAAAAAAGAAAGTGGCAAAGGAAATCAAATATATAAAGAAAGCCATTCTATCCCTAAAGAATGGAAAAAAATTGGCTCCATTTATGCCACTCCAGAAAGATTAAACATCTACTAAAGAAAGCAAGGAGAGAACATCAGACATAAGAGGCGAATACTAATTAAGAAATATGTTGAAACTACCTTGTTAGAGCAACCAGGCACTTGATGAAACCGGCAATAATCAAGAATTAGGCTTAACATGGCAGGATTGACTCGCTGAGGAAGAGATATAGCATAATTCTTGGAGGATCCCATGCCCTTTTGTATCACTTCATGGCATATCATGGGACAAAACATTGCAACCTCCTGTTCAACTTGTTGGATTGAGCCATCAGCAGTTCGAAGCCAAATATAAGACTTCATCATCTGAGAATGAATCCAGCAAAGCTTCAGAATCAAAACTTAAAGATACACTTGAAAACATACCAAGGCCACTAAAGTGTAATTGTCAGCATTACTAACTTTTGCAAGAAATTCTATGCCTTTTTTAACAGCTAAACAGTTAACTCCATCCTACTTTCTCACCCAGTCTGAGTTAAGTTACCTATATCCCCATCCTTCAAACACTCAAGCAATATATTTTCTGGGTCCTCCTTCAACCCTACTAAGCCAATTATGTAAAGCACAAATTTCACCAGACAGAAACCTAGTCATTCATCATCCTGCTCAGGACATTATTCCAATGGAGTGTCCATCTAGCCAAACTCACACTACATAGGTTAAGAAAATCAAGAAAGTTATGCACGTAATTGTTAAAAATACAAACAAACAAAAAATTGTTCACAGAACAATAATTAGGTTAATGTCACACCAGAGCTAATTATTTCACTAATTACCTCAGTTGTGCAGTTGCTAAATAAATAAATGCAACCATGAACAATATGCCTTTTATAACTAACAATGGAGTGCTGAAGAATATGAAAGACTCTGCTCTCTTTTAAACTATATAATAATAAAGATTAATTAACCTAAAACGTAAAAGTAGTGAATAGAAAAAAAAATGTTCTTCACCTCCTTTCATAAAGGAAAAACAACACTTTATAAATTTAAAAGGACTCAGAACGACTTACCTCAGGTTTAATGACTGCCATATCAACCTCTGACATTTGATAGTAAATTTAAAACTCCAAGAAAGGTATTTATGTAAAGCTTGTTGTAGCATAAGTTGTATACCCTGATGCTCTATCCCTCAAAAGCTTGAATACAGTAGATCAAACAACAGCTTTGCACTTCTTAAATGGCAGAGACTCTCAAACCTGTAATAAGCTACCCACAGTACTAATATCAATGACAAATTTCCCACTTGCACGAACATTGATCAGGAAGTAGATCTCAAGAGGTACTTAAAGCAGCAACATGAAGCTGTTCAAGCACAAAAAATTGTATCAAATTATAGTCAAGTTTCTGCAGTTAAGTAGTTAATCACATAAACAGGTTGCAAAAGGAGGTAAATACGCCTAAGCTCCTACTTTAAATATCATGAATGGTGTCCCCAAAACATAATAAACTGTCTCTCTCAATCACATTTTTTAAATTAATTCTATGTATGTTTGAGTTAGTATTAACATATACCGCTAAAATTGTTCAAAATGGATAATATATTGGACTGTCAACACAAAACTTAGGATCCCTACATTCTCATGATTCCTATCACTGCAACATATGACATCAGAGTCAAAAACAGCAGCAGAAGTAAGATAATTGTTATTGCAGGGAAAATAGCAGAGTAGTTGAAAATTTAAGTCATTTACCAGGATTATCTCAACCTTTGTTTCACCAGAAAAACACTTTCCTTCTACTAAATTTGCTTTATAGAACCAAAAACTCCAGCAGAAAGATTCAATTTCCAAAGTAACTTCCACATCCCAACTCCACTAGAACATAAAGCTTAATATGGTAACAACTGATTTTTGTTCAGAAAACGAGTCTAACCATCCATTAGAAATACAAAACTTTAACTAAGTCAATACATGCTCTTGCTAAAGCTTACACTGAAATGCTTGCTCCACCCCACTCACTCTCCCCAATTTCTACAAGGCAATACTTGCCTAACCAAGACCTCATGACACACAACCATTAAGCACGCATATATTTTCATAGAGCAGCAGCAAGACTCATGGCACGATGAATCCCTATGACAAAATAAACACATAAATTTCTGTTCTCAGATGAGCCTGACACCTCTTGTTAAACACCTCTCCGGCAAATTGAAGTTATCAATTAGACACTCCAAGTTACATAGCTAGTGCCCCACTGTTGATATGAAACTAGTAAGTTTCTTTTAATTAAACTTTGACCCTGAACCTCACAAGAAAAACAAGCTAAATGAAACCCTTCTGCCGAAGTCATTGTGTATCCTCTCAGTACCTCACCCCACATTCCACTTGTCTTTGTTGTGCATGGACAATTAAGTTTAAACACTTGTTGGCGTTACATCCAATTTCCATAACTGTTTTCCCTACAAATCTACCTTTTCCTAAATTATCATCATTCCCGCAATAGTCCATATTTGACCCTACCTCAAAAAAATTCATGAACCCAATCACTTCCAAAACTTTTTCTGATATTTACAACCATTCCAGCTCTATTACCATTTTAAAAACATAAAATTCATGTATTTGACTTTTAAAGTGAGATTTTTAAATTATGGTAACCTAAATTGTTACCATGAAGAAAAGCTAGGTCACTCAGCAATTCTTAGTACTACCGAAATACCATATGGCAGCCAAATTTTTCATCTGCCAAGCTTCTGGGAAATAATAACATAATGAAGCCATCTTTCTTCGGTTCCTACAGTTATTTTAACCAAAAATAACTTCAATGGCAGGCAGACTAAACGCTAACCTAATTTCAAGCATGTATCAGTTATTCTAATATCCCATAAAACCAAAAAAGACCTAATAATTCGTGATTAAATTTCTTTCATTATCCTCTACTTAAACTGTCTTATTACTTGCATTCCTTTTCTCATAAACCAGACATCTTTTAACAAATAAACACGCATAGAGCATCAAATCAACAGAAATTAATTTGCAAAACCAATAAAAACGTAACGCTACCTAGCTCACAGACTCAAGCAGCTAATTCATAGGAACATATAAATTAAACAAAAATTTTAATCAAAAATGAGAAAATGAAACACATTTCTGTCATCGATAAAAAAACAATGAAATAATGATTCAAGAAAGTGAGTCTTAACGTATAAGTACAAAAACGATCTTCACTTTCTTTTCAATGTTTAATATATAGTAATTCATTGATTTTGGCAAATTATAAGCAAAACAGCGTTGTTTTGATTGTACCTTCGGAAAGCAATCGGAGATTGCAGAGCTTCCGAACTGCTGAGCTATGGCGGTGGTCGGAGAACTCAGGATGGATAAAGGAAAGGGAGAAAGGGATAGAAGAAAATAGAGTTTCTTTTTACGTATAAATATTGTAAAACGCTGAACGAAAAAGGAAAGGGCGAAGATTTTCTGTGCTCAAGGTGCTCGTCGCATCATTGTCATTGGCGAAGCGAGGGTCCGATGAAACGTCACCGCACACACACACACACACACACACACACACGTGAACCCTATTAGAGTTGGTTAGGGTTAGGTTTCTTCTTTCCTTTTATGTTTCTTTTTTTCCATTTCCGCCCATCCACCCTGGAAATATCCAATTGTCTCAGGAAAAAACAAAAACCTCTTTTTTAGTCCAAGAAAATAAATATTTTTGTTGATAAAATTAATGGTTCTACAATAATGACGTGGCGTTCGGAAGATCATTTTTAAAATGCTTAAACAAATTAATCCTATTTGTTGGATAATTAATGAATCTTAAAATATATGATTTAGTACATTTTTGGCTTGTTATTAGTAAGGGTGTAAATGAATTGCGTCTAAACTAATTTTATTATATTGGTGCTTTATTTATTTAATTAATTAATTTTAAAATATTATTTTATGATTATTTATTATATTTAATAAATAAATAAAAATTAAATTTATTGATAAAATAATTTATCAAATATTTTATTTATTTATACATCTGAATTTAAATAAATCAAATAAAATTTATTATTTTTTAATTTTTTAATTAACAAATTTAAATTTTAATAATATTATTAATTAAATAAATTTAATAAATGAATAAAACAATACATATCTATAAATCAAATATTTTCTTTAATTAAAATAATTTAAAATCTTAATTCTCATAATAACATATATTTGAACTTTATTCTTAAACAAAGGCATATTGGTTTAATTGAATTCCAAGTCAGCATTATACCCTATGTCAGTGAGCCAAAATAATGTCATTTTTTAATTTCCTGCAACATCAACCAAGAAACAATAAAACTTGCAGCAAATATCATTGCAGATAAATGAATTGGTTAAAGGAGTTGAAAATGCAGTGCTCTGTGGTGTGCACCATTTTTTTTTTTTTTTTTAAGAACAAACTCAAAATATAATGATTTTAACTGTCAAACTCTCACAAATATATCAAATGTTTTGAGAGAAATTGAAATCGTAAGAAAAGCACTGAGAATTAAGTCCTAACTGTCCTTTCAATTCCCCATTAATGACGAAATTCTTCTAGCGAATGAGCACTCCTGATCGGTGATCAATTCTCCTCTTTCACATAATCACGTAAGAAGAAGCTGTGAAAGTGGAGATGAAGATGGTGGTTCTTTCTCGTACCTTTCTTTTCATTGAAGTTGTCCCTTCCATAATCTTTAATGTCTTCGATGCATTGGTATTGGCTTATCAAATCTACTTCCCATGGATGCATAGCAAAATCTAATCATCAATTTCAAAAAAGAAAAAAAAATTTCACAAATGATTATGAAATGACATAATTCATTTTTCATTCGTTTTTCAAAAATAAACTCTTGAATTTTTATTTTTTTTTTCTTATTTTTTTGGTTTTAGATTTAGATTACTTCTTCTTTCTCCCCCAATTTGAAGTCGTATGATTTTTTTCTTTTTTTTTTGAAAATTCTCAAATGATGAAACTGGTGAGATAAAATGGTTTTTGTTGCTTTTTGGTTGAGAGCGCTGGAAGAGAAAGACTCAAAGGAGACGCTTACATTAAATACAATGCTGACATGGATTCCAATTAGATGAAAATAACTTATTTATGAATAAAGTTTAAATGCACCCCATTTTGGGAATTAAGATTTTAAACTACCTTAGCTAAAGAAAAAACTCTCCATAAACCATTAATGAAACGTTTTAGTAGTTTTATCACTCCAATTTGCTTTCCAACATACATGCATGAACTGACTTATGGGCCGTAGCCTGTAAGGAACATTGGGTTTGACATACACGAACCCAAAAGCCACCCAAATTGAGTTTCATAGACAATATTTTCGGCTTGACGCGATTCAATTTTAAGGCTAAACTAAAATTTTGCTCATTTTTTCACTTATGCAAAGACAATTTCATGCAGTTTTTTTTATTATTATTACATTATAAGAAAAAAATTTTAATACAAATAAAAAAAAAAAAAGAGATTTGATTCAAAATCAAATCTTTGATGTGTTTGTCCAACTAAATATGTTAGTTAAATTAATTAATGTCAGTTTTAGTTTGGGTTACGAGTGTTTTAGAGGATGCATCTGCATAAACAACAGAACAGCAATTCTTTCAACTTTCAACTCAACCTCCGGAGTCCAAACCGAAGATTTACCCCATTATTTTCTCAATCATTGCCCATAGACAGGAACAGGACAGTTCAATTAAGGACTAAATAATATACTGTTATTAATAAATTATTTGAATTTAATTCAAATAAAATTTAAATTTAATTTATTATTATTAAATTGAGTTTGAACAATTTAATTTACCTAATAAATTTGAATGGAGTATTTTAATTTAAATAATTTACGATTTTAACAAAATTTTTAAATTTTAATATATTTTTATTATTTTTATTAAAAATAATTATTTATTTTTATATATCAATTCGAATTCAAACGCATAATTAAGTTTAAAATCAAATATAAAAATTAAACTTAATTTTTATTAAATAAATTTAATCAAATGAAATCGAATAATTTAATTTTTATTCAAATCAAATATAAATTTAAAAATTAAAATTTAATTAAACTTAAATCAAATTTTAAATAATAAATTTTGAATCAAGGTAAAACATAAACTTCTTATTGTGTTAATTCAATTCGGTTGAATTACACTGCCAACGCAACCAATAAATCAATGATCCAACCCAAATTGCACGGTACAAGTTGTTAGTCAAAATTGCATAAAAGCCATAAATAAGATGCCCAGATGGGCAACATTTTTCTGGTGAGGTTGTTGGGTCGCTGCCATTATTCCATCCTCCAGCCTCTGCATCTGGTGGCTCACAGTTTCCACCCATAAATGCTTTTCAAATTAAATTGAAGACATTAGACACTTAGATTATTTTCTCTCTTCTTTTTTTTTTTTATTGGACAACATCCCAATACTTTAATATATGTTTTGGTTTTCGGATTTTGTGTCCATTAATAAGCGATGTGAACCATAAGATGTTGATGAAGAGTTTCCCGGTCGACAAATTAATTCTGAAACCGAAAATGCAGTTCCTAATAAAAACTGGGTCTTGCTTCTCTTGACATTGAAAACGAATGGTGAGACTTTTTATTTTTTGATTTGACGTTCTAAAAGAAGAAGAACGTATGATCTGAGTATTAATTCTAAATATCTAACATATAAAAATGTAATATTATTTTTTTATTACATTAGGAGAGCAAATTTTAAATACAAATAAGAGAAAAAAAATTTAATTCGAAATCCAAACGTTTTTAATTATTAGATCAAAAGTTTGGAAATTAATATTATAATATCTTTTTTTTTTTGTATCTTGTTTGAAAATTAAAAGATATTTTCTCAATTATTAATGTAACTAACTCTACCTTCAAAATGGAAAAATAAATAAATTTAAATCCTTTTTCATCTATGAGACAAGATTGTAACAAAATTTTGAATTTTTTATTTTTTATATAAAAAATCATAATTTTAAAATAAAAAAAAAAAAAAACTAATTAACAAGACATTTGAATTTTAAACGTTATCAAAATAATCAATATTTTTTATCAAGATCTTTGTCCTAAACATGTCTTTAATGCTGACCATTATTTTTTTTTTTGAAGTTTATAATCTATTTGAAAAAAAAATTTATCTTATTATATACTTAACTAAAAATAATATTACACATCTAAATTTTGATAAATTTATAATTTTTAAATATCAACTTTAATATTATAACAATTAATTCAAAAAATAATCGGCATTCGTAGGGCTTAACTATACTTAGTTGGCAATTGGCTAGAAACGGGAAGAAGCAAGGAGGTTTCCGAAAGTCTTCTAAAATCCCATATTTTTCTACACGTAATCAATTTCCTTTTCTTTTTAAATAAATTAACTTTGAACGTGACGTTGTTACTTGGAGTAATGAGAATACATTGTAAGGCCACCTATAAAAACAGAAAACCCATTGAAACCCTTCAAAATTCTCCAACTACTCCAACTAAACCTTTGCCAAAGCAATCTTCAAAAAAATTATTAATTTTAAATTTTGTTAATAAGATTTATCCTACGTATTAACGTCATTCCTATTTCATGCATTTATTTTGCACATACTAACAATACATTAAATTGAAAAAAAATTAAATTATAAAGTTTCTAAAGAGTGTCTTAACGAGTAATTTGCAAGATTATTATATTAAAACTCATAAAAATAATTATCAAATGAACTAATTCCACATAGCATCTTAAGAACATTTATTAACAAAATTTATAAATTCATTATTCATGAAAATTTATAAAAAATAAAAAATAAAATTGATTACTCATTCACGTGTCAGTCAATAATAAGTCGTTTTCACATATTAATTTCATCGTGTGGTTTTAAAATTTTACTACTTTGTTTTTTGTTTTGTTCATTGCTGAAACCATTGAACATGTTCACCCTAAAGCTCAAAGTTAATTCACGAAAGCAAAAGAACTTTCGCTTTGTGTTGGTTGCAACAAACAAGATTTGAGCTTATCTTCTATGAGGAAATATATGTGAAATTGTTTGTTCCGTCGGGTCACCAATCTTTTATCTATAAGTATAGTATAGTATAATTTAAGAGTTGACTCATTTTCAATTTAATCATATTAATATATTTTTTTGTTACATTATGATGATAAAATTTTAATACAAATAAAAAATTATTTTATTTGAAATCAAATTTTTAATATTTTTTCAAATATTTTTAACCACTAAATTAAAAATTTAAAAACTAATCGTATCCATACACACTTAGGTCTTCAATATTTTCCAGCGACATACAGTTGAGCAGTAAGCAACAAAAATCCAAAATTTCAAAGTAATTAATTAATAACAAATATATTTTTAAATGAAGCCTTATAGTCTTAAAAATAAAAGGGCATATTAGTCACTTCAGTTGAAGTCTGCGACTCTGACTCGCCATAATGTCAGACCCGTTATCGTAATTTTCCACTCAATTGCCACATTTAAAACACAGCATTCCCTCTCATCCTTCCCTCCCCCAACGCTGTTTCTCCTAACTCTTTAAAAAGGCAGAGCAAAACAGAACAGTTAAAACAAAAAGAACAAGAAAAATGGCTCCACTGAAAGCGGCGCAAAGCTTTCCATCGATAACGGAATGCGACGGTTCTACGTACGAATCGATCGCCGCTGATCTCGATGGCACGCTTTTAATCTCTCGAAGCTCTTTTCCTTACTTCATGCTCGTCGCCGTGGAAGCGGGAAGCCTCTTTCGAGGTCTTATCCTTCTTCTCTCTCTGCCTCTGATAATTATTTCTTATCTCTTCGTTTCCGAAGCTATTGGTATCCAAATCCTCATTTTTATCTCCTTCGCTGGACTCAAGATCCGCGACATCGAGCTCGTCTCCCGCGCTGTTCTTCCCAGGTATAACAAGCAAAGAGAGAAGAAACTCGTTTCCTTTTGAAGATGGTCAAACTTTATTCTTAATTTCTTACTAAACTTTTTAAATACTTTCTGCTTAAGTTGCTAAGCATTTCTTTTTGGTTAATGATTTTGGATAGATTTTATGCTGCGAATGTGAGGAAGGAAAGTTTCGAAGTGTTTGACAGATGCAAGAGGAAGGTGGTGGTGACGGCGAATCCGACATTCATGGTTGAGCCGTTTGTGAAGGATTTTCTAGGTGGAGATAAGGTTTTGGGCACGGAGATTGAAGTGAACCCTAAAACAAAGAAGGCCACGGGGTTTGTCAAGAAGCCAGGGGTTTTAGTAGGAAAGTTGAAGAGATTGGCCATTTTCAAGGAGTTCGGTGATGAATCACCTGATCTTGGAATCGGAGACCGTGAATCTGATCACGATTTCATGTCAATTTGCAAGGTTTGCCTTCATACTAATTACTAGTATTAATGCTTTTGAACAGTCTTCGTCGATTTCATGACTTTTATATTGATGGATGCTTAGTTCATAGATATCAAGGCCTGATTCATGAGTTTTGTCTTTTTCTCAGTCTTGAAAAGAATTAAGAAATCTTTTTTCATTAAGATAATAAGCCAGAGAAGTTTAGAAAATCATTAGATGGTATACAGTGAAGAGTTAACGTGGTAATCTTTCTAAACGTATTTAATTATATCATTAAATTCATGGTTGGTGTAAAGTTGATTATCTTGAGTTGCTTGTTGTTTTTATTAACTCCTTTAGATCACTCTAATTAAATTACCCTGTAGGAAATAGATATTAGCTATTTTGGTATATGAAATTGTTAATTATTAGATAGCCTAAACTGTTTGAAGTGAAAATGTAAGTGAAGTTGTTTGAGAAAAAAAAAAATGAAAAAATGTAGTGAAGTTGCGGAGACCAAATAAAAATCGTTGAGGTTAGGTTAATGCATTGATTTCGATTGGACCCACAAAATTAACATCGCTCAACGCTCAACGGCCCACCAGCAACATTAGATGCTGGTCCATGCAAAAAAATTATGTACTTTTATGGCAAAGATAAATATATTATTAAATTTAATAATTTAAAATACAATATAATTATAAACTATAAAAGTGATATATGATAAAATTAAAAAAAAATATTTTATGTTATTATATCACATGAATTATCATATAATAATTTTTGTATTTAATATAAAACAGACACAATACTCTAATTATTATTATGATCATGTAATAATCAAATTATATTATATTATTTAATGTTTAGGGATACGTTTCACTTGTTGTCCTCCCATGTCCTCGTCAACTTGTAGGGATAGTAATTAAATTTATGAATTTTGATGGAAAATTGGAAATAAATTGTAATAAATTATTGGTATCATATGTAAACAGGAGGGTTACATGGTGCACCCTAGTAAGTCAGCAACACCGGTACAACTGGATCGTTTAAAAAGCCGCATCATCTTTCATGATGGTCGCTTTGTTCAGCGCCCGGACCCACTCAATGCCTTAATCACTTATATTTGGCTGCCATTTGGCTTCATCCTATCCATCATTCGAGTTTACTTCAATCTACCTTTACCAGAGCGTATTGTACGCTACACATACGAAATGCTGGGTATCCACCTCGTGATCCGTGGGAAGAGACCTCCCCCACCATCTCCTGGGACTCCAGGTAACCTCTACGTCTGCAATCACCGTTCAGCTCTTGATCCAATTGTGATCGCCATCGCACTCGGACGCAAAGTTTCGTGTGTTACATACAGCGTAAGCCGTCTCTCGAGGTTCCTTTCCCCAATCCCAGCGATTGCTTTAACTCGTGATCGTGCGGCTGATGCTGCCCGAATTTCAGAACTATTACAAAAAGGTGATTTAGTGGTGTGTCCAGAGGGGACCACGTGCCGCGAGCAGTTCTTATTACGATTCAGTGCTTTGTTTGCAGAAATGAGCGATAGGATAGTGCCCGTGGCGGTCAATTGCAGGCAAAACATGTTTTATGGGACGACCGTGAGAGGGGTCAAATTTTGGGACCCTTATTTTTTCTTCATGAATCCTAGGCCAACATACGAGGTCACTTTCCTTGATCGATTGCCGGAGGAGATGACGGTGAAGGCCGGAGGGAAATCGGCTATTGAGGTGGCTAATCACGTGCAGAAGGTGCTGGGTGATGTCCTGGGGTTTGAGTGCACTGGATTGACAAGGAAGGATAAATATATGTTGCTTGGGGGAAATGATGGTAAGGTTGAATCGATTTACAATGCAAAGAAATAATTTCGGTTGTCGCATCTTGGTGTTGTGCTATGGGATTTTCTTAAAAACATTTGGATTTATAGAGTGAGGGGCTTAGTTACTCTGTTATTTTTCTAAAGTCATCGTGGGAGGAACTAATTTGGGTTGAGATATTACTTAAAAAAAAAGTCTACAGGGTTTTATGGAGTATTTGTTAAATGTGTAATTGTTTAGACTTTCGGATATTTTTCATATAAATGTTGGTAACGTTTTATGGATTATTTACCATCGTCATGATGAAATTATATATGACAAATTTTAGTTGCTCCACTAGTAGGTAGGACAGAGCAAAACTCAATTAAAATTAAAAAAATCAAAAAATTATGAAAAATCGGTTTGGGTTAGTTGGGTTAGACGAATATCTCGATTATGATCTTGATTTAAATGATTAAAATGATCAATATTCAGGTTTAAAATTTGAAAACGAATAAATCAAAATATTCGATTTAAATAATTAAAAATAAAAATAAACACCTCTGTTGCATTTTTCCCGTTTTTCATTTGTAAGCCTAGCCCGCACACCCATTTTCTCTCTGAACATTTCGTGTATTGCCTCACTCTTACTGCCCCACACCCATCTTTTTCCCCAAACCCCAAACCCCAGTCACAGTCCGCCTCTCACAACTGTCACCAATCTCCAGAATAGATTCCCTTACTGCCTCACTTATTAGTCATCACAGATATAAGATTTGAGTCTTCACAGCTCACAATCACAAGCACCAACCGTCAATCCCCCTTGCCACTACTCAGCCGTTCGCCTTTCTCATCTTCCCCTTTGGCCATTTCAAGCTTCGGTAGTGGAACTTGGAAACCAGCAAACTTTCTAGTTCCAACCTTCAATCAAAGGTCAGTTGAAAATGGGCTATTGATATTTATTTTAGTTATTTTGTAACTTTAATAGTAATGTAGCAAGGTACATTCTTCGTGAAAGTAAAATTTCTCTTGTTGTTTACATATATAACTGAAAGAGCCTATATGGGGTTTCTTTCTTGTCACTGTTTGTGACTTTGCATATTTCTTTTAAAGTAGAAAATTAGGTAAAGTAATTAAAATCCATGAACTGGGTTTCAAAAACTTGGTAAACTAGAAGACATTCATTCTTTTTTTTTTTTTTACTTCAATGACATCATGATTGCCTGATATCAAGGATTCTTCCCCTCCCCCCCCCCCCCCCCAAATTCAGGAGGGTTGGCTATGGTAAATTGTTCATTTGTCAAAATTTTTGTTAGGCTTGATTCCTACATAAATTCTTCAATTTCCATGGTGTGCAATCTAATTTCTCCAATCCCTGAACTTAATACTATGTTCAGTTTCTTCAATAGTCATATTAGATGTGTTGAATTGATAATATTCCCAATTAATGTTTTTAGGGAATGATCTTGTCAAAACTGCAGCCAGCAGTATTAGTTAATTTCTGTGGTTATGGGTGCTTATTTATAGTAGTTTTCTATTCAGGAATTCATGGCTCTGTTCTTGGTTTATTTGCTTTTCACAAACTGAGAACTGATATGCCAAGAGCTGAATATGAGTTGAGATTTTATCCCAGACTTAGTAATAGAGCATGTTGCAAATAAATCAAATATTTAGTTGCATTTTACAAGCGAAGGCCAGAACCGACTAATCCAAGAAAACCGACCTAGATCGATCAGCTTAATTTGGTTCAATTTTTTAAAATTTTCTTTTTATATGGTTTTTATAGTAAATTAAGTAAGTTGAGTTGATTTTTTTATTTTTATGATCGAATTAACCGAAAAGATCGTTTGTTTTGCCTTACTAGTAGGCAGATGTTTCGAAGAAGATTTTTTTTTTCTTTGGTGAAAGAGTAGTTTTACATGAATGTTTTGCATAATTTTTTCCCCAAAATAATACTATAACAAAGTATTAATGTTACCAACAAAATATTAACTTAAATAACATGCATATTATATTCAAGTTTTATTGTACGGGGTTTGATTATTTAATTATTTTATAATTTATTCGTCAATTATTCAATGATTATAATTTAATTATGATATTATAGACACTTTATTTTATTTGAGATGAAAATGAGTTTCGATCAAAAATTGAACTTAATTGGGAAGCTTCGTGTCTAATAAGAAAAATTTTAATTTTAATTTGATTTATATATTATTTTGGTTTAATTTTACTTATTTTAAAAAGTAAAAAATAAAAAAGAAAATCCGATCAAGAAATCTGCAGACAATTAAAGTTTGAGATTTAAACAAATCTTTGACCACAATTAGGGTATGGATTAAAACCCAGAATCATGCAGTGATTAAAGGTGACAGATTTGATTTCCTGTTAATCAATCAAACCCTATACAAATCTGAAAGATTTTATTTTTTTTAATTAATGAAATCCCTAAAATTTTTGAAAAAAAAAACTTATAAATCGTACCCAAAAACACACATAACGGGGGTGGCTTTGGATATGTTCTAGGTTTTTTAGAGTTTTTTTTTTTTTAAACCAAGTTTTTCTAGGATTACAGAGAGTTTTTGGTTTATGGGTTGGGAGTTTTTAATTTGAAATCTTGTGTTGAATTTCCAAGGATGGTTCGAGTTTGGGTTTGCAGAGACTTTTTTGGGATTTTTTTTAGTTTTTTACTTTTCTAAATAATTCTAGGTTATGTGCTTTGGTAGTTGATTTTTTTTTTGTTAGAATTCTGTAATTATGATTTTTGGAAGAACTGTTTTGATTCTATGTTAGTTTTAGGATTTCTGGAAAATTCTAGGTTTAAGTGTAAATCTAAGTAAATCTGGGTTTTTAAGTTGGTGAAGCTCACGGCGACTGAAAGGTTTTTGCGATGGTCGGGTTATGGTTCATCAAATTTTTAAAAAATTTTGAAGTTTTCGGCAGCCGATTGAATTTCTCAGCTTTGGAAACTGAATTTTTGGTCGAAGATTGGGAAATTTTGAATTTATCAGTTGAGATATTTTAGAAAGAAGGCAAAGCAAAAGAGCTAGAAAGAGAGAGCTCAAACAAATTGCGGAAAAAGTTGAAATTTGGGTTTTTATACCCATAGAAGACGACATTATTTTGACAAAGGGGTTGACCCGTCCCAACTCGGTTGATTTGCGTGCAGTTCTGACCCGAGCGTCACTTTTTTTTTTTGTTAATTTATTTTTTATATATTATTTTTTACATTTATATTTTAATATTTATTATGTTAAACGGCTGATTAAATTAAAATGGTGAGAAAAGAAAAAAATTTTCGGCATGATATTTTTATGAATTTAATATATTTCCATAACTTTGTTTTTATATATAAACCAATTGCATGTTTTCTGATTTGTTAAATATATTTTGCATAATTACATGATAATTAATATATTTGTATGATTATATTATTTTTATATAATTATTATTATTGCATGATATATTATATTTTATTACATGATAATTTTTGCATTAAAATTTATTTATTTATTTTATTTGAGTTTTTTTATCTAAAAAAAGGAGTTTTCAAAAAACAAAAAAATGTTTTTCAATATTATCGTATTATTGGAGGATTTAAATATTGAGTTAAGTCTTTTTAAATTATTAAAGAATTTAATGAATTTTTTTAAAAAATATTTTTTGCACAAAATACTACCAATAGATTGAAATATAATTTTCAACGAAAAATTTTATTAATAGATTGGAATACATTTATGATTATAAATCTAGTTTATAGATATTTATTTTTAATAGTAAAATAAAAAAAAATTGATGATAGAACCTTTTAAGAGTGAAATATTAATCTTCATAAATACTTTGATGTGATAGAATTATCTTAAATTACTACAAAATTATTATAATAATTTAAGATCAATTTTTAATATTAAATATTCTGATAAATCATGAATATAGTTAAAACTTAAATAATTTGAAATCAAATTAATATTATCTTTTAGATGAATGTTAAAATGATATTATAATCTTTTTCATACGTAATATTGTTTTCAAACTTAAAATCTAGTTACTATTTAAAAATATTTAAGTCAACTTAGTTACTCTTTAAATGAAATAGATTAAATTAAGTGATTGATTGTATTTCAATATAAAAAATTGTTAATGACTTCTTTAAGTTTATATCTAACGATAAGTTTATAAATTTATACGTTTTGATTGATATAATAATTAATTATTCAATAACAATAACTTAATTATGATATAATAATTGATTATTTAATAATTATTAAATATAATATTTAATTATGAATACAATTTAAAAACTATGAATATTAAATAAATTTTTAAATTTACGAATTCATGATAATTTGAATGTATAGTGCTCTTCAAATAAATTAAGTAAAACAAGATTAAGAAGTTGAAAGACTAAATTAAAAATAAAAAAAAATCGTGTATTAGTATTTATATTACTAATTATTTTAAGAGAGGATAATTAAATTCGGAGTACAAGGATTTAAAGTCAATCCATCAATGTGTTTGTCGGTCCACAGTCCACACCTTTCATTATACACAGTGTTGAGATTCGACAAAATTAATGATTACGGGCTTTTTGAGTATTATTATTGTCGTTGAAAAAAAATTTAGGTTAAAAAGGAATGTTTAAAAAATATAATTAAAATTTTATATCTTTGATATATTATAAAAAAGTATTATAAATAATTAAAATGTTTAAAAATATGTAAAAATAATTAAATATTAAAAATATAAAAATAATAAACTAATTTTTATCACGAATATATTTTTTTAATACAAAACACCTCTTGAAGTATTTTTTTTATTTGAGTTAGAAATTTAAATTTTTAAAATAAAAAATTAATTTTTAAAAATATAATATTTAAATTAAATTAAAATTTAAATAAAAATTACTTTTAACAACGATGCTACCTGAAGCCTTAATAATTTGCAGATTCTAGATTGTACAGAATGCAGAGAATATGAAAAAAGAAAAAAAAAAAAAGAACATAAAAAAAAAAATTTTGGCAACAAAAAAGCATTTTAGCAAAATTTTTGGCAAAATTTAAGTAATACACAAAGTGAGATTTTTCACTTTTTTTTAACATTTTCCAGTTGTCACGATATAAATGTTCCACGTGTTATTTTTAAAAATAAAAAATTAATTACCGAGAATATCTTTTCAGGACCCTTCCCGGCGACCTTCCGTCGGAACGCAAAGTATTTCGGCGATGTGGAGGCCCTTCTCGTTAAGCACGGTTAACATTTCCCCATCCAAATTCCCAGAACACTCATTTTCAAACCACTTATTTACCATCTCTACCTCACAAATCCCACCGTTATTTCGACTTGCATGAGGGGTATTTCC